GATGTCTCCTTGGGAATCGTCAAACCTGATTGGAAGATCAGGATTTTTTAAGTCTCTCATTGAATTTTTGTCACATGCCTTTTTTTTTAAATCAAAATACCCATCAGTGCATTTGATCCCTCCTACTGTGTATCATTTCTAAATGAACTTTTGTAGTTAAAAACAAAAACACATCTCCCCCTAAAGGATGACTGGGTACCAGGAAGACTGTTCAAAATAGTATTTCAAAGATTCCTCAGTTATTTCAACCAAAGGTCTGCAGCCTCCCTAAGTTTGGGCAGCATATTTGGAAAAAGAACACTAAAGGAATGGCAACTATTCTACAAGGAACCAGACTCCCTTGGAGACAAATGTTCAGTTTGTCCAGAAAGGAAGGGTATGGGTTTTATGTTTTGCGGGGAGGGATGGAAGGTTTGGGGAAGGAGTGCAGAAAGCAATAATAAAAAGCTCTTATGGTTACCACGTAGAAGAGGTATAGTGCTCCTCCTTCTATACACCCTGTTTTGCATTGTCACAATGGACTGGATTCAACTTTAAAAATTCTGGATATTTTTTAGTTGGTGCACGGGTAAGTAAATTATCTTCAATTGCAACATAAACATGTTTATCTTTGACAATAAAACATTTCCAAGGGGTTTAAATGTACATTATTCTCAAGGAAACTGCCTCAGTGGTCCTAGTTTTCACTAAATAGACCTCATTCCCTTTGAAAAATCAGTGTTCTATATCTCTTTGTAAATACAGGTCCTACATGTATTGAATTCCAACTGTTGAGAGACAGTTTTCCATGGATCTCTCATGTTTCTGCACACCTGTGATCAGAGACACACAAGCTTTTGTTCTAGACTATCTTTTCAAGGGTGTCTGTATAGCAAACAGCCTTGGAAGGCAGTGTCTCCCTCCCAGAAAGAGGGCGAGTTTGTTTGCTGTCCGGGATAATAAGATCAGACAGGGTTGCTTGCAGGCCCTTGACAGGGTTAAGTCTCCCAAGCTTGGAGTTCCTCAGCTGTGATATGAACAACATCTGCCTGGCCACTCCGCATCGCCTCCATGGGAATTTGGGGGACAACAGGAACAGATGGGGAACATGAAGCTCATGCCGCCTACTGTGCCTCTGTCTTTGGAGTCCTCTGTTTTGTCAGCATCCATGACACTGGCAGGTTAACTTGTTAGCTTGCATGTAAAAACTCTGGACTCTTAATAGCTGACACCTATCAAGCAAACAGATTAGATTTTGTTGAGTTAAGGAATTTCCATGTCCTATTTGTCCACCTCTCTCAAGCAAACAAATGCAAATTGCAATTCCAGCACATTGAATATATATGGATTGTCTTTTGGAGTTGGTTGCAAAGGGACTTAATGTTTCCAGACAGTAAATTTAATGGGTTAAAGGACACACAGCCAGGTGCGGTGGTTCATGCCTATAGTTCCAGTACTTTGGGTGGCCAAGGGTTGAGGCTAGTTCAAGGCCAGCCTGGCAAACATAGCAAGACCCCGTCTCTAAATAAATAAATACAATGAGTCAGGTTAGTGCCTGTGGTCCTAGCTACTTCGGAGGAGGATGACGTAGGAGAATCACTTGATCCCAGGAGTTGAGGCTGCAGTGAGCAATGATTGCACCACTGTACTCCAGCCTGAGCGACAGAGAATGACTCTGCCTCTAAAAAAATAATAAATAACAAAGGACACATGTAAGGAAGACGGAGTTTAGGGGGAAACATAAAAGATCAAGAGAGGGAGGTAATCCCAGAAGATGCAGATAGAAATAAATTACAATGCATTTCTTTAATCGTGGTTTTGTCTCAAACGAAACACACCATTCTTTGTTAAAGAAAATTACAGCCCTATCGCCCTCTACTGGAACGAGGCTGGAAAATACAGAGAAATAGCTTGAAGTTAACTCTTAATGGAATCTGTTCACACTGAAGTCCATCGCTGCTATTATCCAGATGCTAAAGTGTAAACCTCAGGTGTTTCTGGTAAGGTATGAGGGATACAGCTCCCTTTGTGTACCCAGGCTGATAGGTTAACCTGAACAACTTCGCGCTGAACAGAGTGGCCAGTCCTTCCCACACGCACCTTCCATTTGCAGCCGTCACTGATTGCCAGGACCAGTAACAGGCTGTGATTTGCTCAAAGTCCCAGCAAGTCGACCCCAGCACTGCTGCTCCACACCTGCACCACCTGCATTCCACAGAAAACCGCTGTGCAGAATCCTCCCCTTGCCTATCAATCCCACCTCCAGACCTACTCAGCTCTATCTCAAAAAAGTCTCACTCTGCTCTTGGGAGCTACAGTAGGGCTGGACACAGTGAATGCCAACCCACCAACTCCAGAGTACATCACTCTGTGATCTCAGATGGTGTCAAACATCACCCTATCAATACCACAAAGCAGTGGTGCCCAAATGTTTTGATCATGCACCCAAATCAGAAAAAACAATGTAATGCACCAATAAATGTATATTTATTTATAAATAATAGAAGTGTACAATTGTACAATATATTATGTACATTATAAAACACACAAAAATAGAAATTTAAAAGGATGAGATTAAATACAAATAATCATTTTAATACTTCCTCAATGGATTGATCATCTCCACGCCCCTGGGATGTATACACCCCCACCTGAAACAATAGCCCTAAAGTATGTCAATGATTGTTATTTGGGTTTTCAGCTCAGGTTACAGAAATATGTACAAGATCACATCTTTTAAGTTTTGCAAAATAGCCCTAGCATCAAGTTTAAATGGATGAGAATGCTTGGTGCTAACTTCTTGAGACATATTAGGACTGGTCACTACACAGCTGGTAAAATGTCATGTTATGGTTCACCAATAGTTATTTCACTTTAAGGCAGTCTAAATAGGGGATTTCATGGAGTTAAATCAGGTTATTTGTGGGAAAGTTGTTTTAAAAAAACATTTTAAAGCAAAGGATCATGATTTGCTTTTTTTTTTCCTCCAAAAACACCCAACTGGCTGGGCGCAGTGGCTCATGCATGTAATCCCAGCACTTTGGGAGGCTGAGGAGGGCTGATCACTTGAGGCCAGGAGTTCGAGACCAGCCTGGACAACATGGCAAAATCCCGTCTCTACTAAACATAAAATTAGCTGGTGTGGTGGCATGCACCTGTAGTCCCAGCTACTCAGGAGGCTGAGGCAGAAGAATCACTTGAAGCTGGGAGGCGGAGGTTGCAGTGAGCTGAGATTGCACAACTGCACTCCTCCAGCCTGGACGACAGAGCGAGACTCCATCTCAAGAAGAAAAAGAGAGAGAGAAAATAAAAGGCCAGCAAATTAAATAGCTAGCCCCTAAAGAAATAATTCTTCTGCCTACAGTAGACAAAAAAAAAAAAAAAGGGGCATTCCAAACAATGGCCAAGGCAAATGGATTTAAATGGATTGCCACTCATCTACCTGATCTAACACCAGCAAGTGAGTTCTTAACATTTATTTATTTATTTATTTTTTGATAGCTCTAGTATCCAATCACAGAGCCTGGCACATAGAAACTCAGTAAATATGTGATGAATGACAACTCCTCCAACATTATGTGAGGTGCTGAATTACATTTGAAATAAGAATTGTGACTACAGAACACTAGTATATGGTTTGGATTGGCTGAAGCAAACTGAACAAAGCTTGTGGTCAAAAATAACATGCCTAGAGAGCCTTATTATATCTCTCCCTCCCTGTTTCAGCATCAGTTGTTTGACATCTACGCCCCCCTGCTTCCACCAGAGCCTAAGCTTCCCCGCACACAGTGGGACAGTACAGCTGAACAGGCCTGTCCTTTTCCAGCCCTCAGTGCAAGCTGGGAGAAGCAGAGCAGAAGGTATTTTCTACACAGAGAACTTCACTCAATGTGCTCCCTAACTTAAAAAAAAAAAAAAAATTCATGAAAAATGTTTAAACAATTCAAAAAGGACATGAACATCTAACTCTGAGATTGACATATTAACACCTCAGGGCCTCAATCAAATATTATAATGCTAAAAATCACAACTGCTACACTTTTAATTGTGGTAACTAAGTCTCCTCATGAACAGCTGTATTTTAATAGGTACTTTACCAATTAGAGAAAAATATCACATAATTTAAGTAACTTTCAATTTCACTTCCTATACACTGTATCATCTATAGGCTCATCAACTGTTGACGACGTGTCAGTTTTTTTATAGGAAGAACACTGAAACTTCACTCAAGTTTCCATCAGATTAAATGCAAACTAGGATACAGTTTGCTATTCTCATTCCAGAGGAAAAACAAAGGGATGTGGATTTCAGCGACTTGCTGGACAGATAAGAACTATCAACTGAAGGCTCAGTTCTTTCACTACTGCCATATGGAAAGAGGTTACCTAAAGTACTCACTAGAGGAAATTTTATTTTACTTAGTTGGGAAGTACATACACATCACACACAGAGAAAAGGAAAGCCAACTATTGGAATTTTCTGGTGATGGTGGTTTTTTAAGCACTGTGGTGAGTTACTAGGTTACCCTCCTCTCCAGAATCTTAAACCCAGAGAGAAGCCAGCTGTGTGAATGAACTTACAAAGCCTCTTTAAGGCAAAGTAGCCACTAGAAAAAACATACTTTTCTTGAAATCTTTCAAGAAAACTAGGAAATATGCATTCTACACATTGTTGTGTCTTGTCTGCTCTGTTTCCTTGCCTTTGTGCCACACCTGTTTTCTCTAATCCCTCCTTTCACTTGACACCAGCTGGCTCACCCCCTGCCACCACACTTAAGTAATCAGTAGCTGCCTCAAGACACTAGTGCTTCACAGCAGAACCTGATTTGAAAATTAAACCCACCCTCTTACTTGTTCAATGAAGTAAATGAAAAAAATCCTCAGTGACACTGGCTCCTGCCTGCCAAGAAAGGGTCTCACTAAACTGGTGATTGAGGTTACAGTGAAAAAAACTGCTTTGACCATTTGATAGAAAATATTACATCCTAAATTTAGAACCAAAAAAACCATTCATGGTTTTGGTAATTTTCAATTTTTACTTCCAACTACTGCAGTAATAAGATAGCAGTGGTAATTCTGCACTGAAAGTGGCAACCTTTTAAGTAAACAAGGTTGCAAATTGTAGTATTCCAACAATATTTTGACCTATGGAAATTTTGATGGGAAAGGATTATTATAATCAGTTTTATAATACTACAGACTTATGCTTCCTCCACATCTAGGAATAAAAATATCCACCCTCCCTCAGTGATTCATCATGTATACATCTCTACTCTTTACAAGCACTATCTTTCCAGTTGTACTACAAGGGGAAATCCCTCTTACTCCTGGGTTTTCCTATACTATACAGAAATAGCAGTCACTTTAGCAGTAATGTACAATACTATTCAATTTTTAGTTGAAAAATAAAGAAGTGGATTCCCCTATTTATGCCCTGACAGTAAAAAGACACACACCATTGAAACATAAAACGAGTCAACAAACTTCTATTTTTATTGACAGGAGTCCAAAATGAATACAAAAAAAGCTTCCTTTGCATGTTATACTTACTTTCCTTAAAAAGCTCCTGATAGAGTCAGGTAGACTGAAAACTAAGGATGTAGTTCAGCTTTTAAAGTGAACCTTTTTAATAAAAGGTTTAATAACATAAGCCACCAATATCAGAAAATATACGGTCCCACTATCACTTTAGAGCTACAGTTTATCAAAAGAATTAGATCCTGCACTGATCTGCTAAGATACAGGTTTAGAAATGTTTTAAGCCATTAAAAGCCATTTTTATAATCTGTCCGATAACTGGACAATTAAGAAAAGAAAAATTCCAAAATGTAGCCCTCTATATCATGTGGAATGTGAGAGAATGCCAACTTATGACCAAGATAAGTAAAAATAAAAGTTTAAATCTATGAATGGAGCTGTTACAGTCTTGTATCACTGCAAAATGTCAATAATAGAGCTTATCAAGAGATTATAAACTTGAGCAATGTTACTTAAAACAGATTTGTGGTGTTTGCTAAAACTAAAGCTGAACAAAGAAAAGTCGCTCATTTATAGACTGTGTTTCCTGCATCTTTGCTTTTACTGGGACCATAGACTGATAATACATAGCCCACACTTCTGGACAGTTATAATAACAAAGGATTTATTATCATTTGCAGATGAAATAAATGCACCATCCCATACTTGAAAGGTTTCAATAAGCCTTAACATTTTTCAGGTTGTACCAAGGCACCACTGCCTAGTTATATTATGCACCCATTTCTAGAGTTAAAAAAAACTACACCTCCCTCAACATCAGTTCTGTACTGTCTCTGGTTTATTATACACTTCCAAAACAGCAAAAAATTGCAAATATGTGCAAACACTGTGGTCCGTTCAGAGTACTGCTTAGTCGTCATCTTCCTCTTCCTCCTCTTCTTCCTCAAAGCTATCTTCAAAGCCCTCACTGTCCTCCTGGTCTTCATCCCCTTCTATTGCTGTATCCCACTGTGGGTGATTTTCTGGCACAGGCTTAGCCTCATGAACTTCCAACTAGAAAGAAGAATTAAATGTAGACATCAGAAATTTGGGGAGAAGTAATGGAAGAAATCTTGGTAAACAAAAGGTTTTCTTTGCCCATAGCAATTAAAAAGAAATAGATTTCTATGGATACAATTCTAAATTCAACTCATTCATTTAGAATAGACACTTCATCCCAGAAATAAAACAAGTAAATCTAACCATAGGTAAATGCAGTCAAATTTCTAATACAGTTTGATATTTTGATTCTATATGTTATACTACTTATGAATGTATTTCTGTGGCATAAAACAATTGTGATTCTTGAGCAAGAACACTGAGTCATATTTTAACAGAAGCCTTCTGCTTTAAGGAAGAAAAATCTGAGATATTTTGCAGTCGCTAGACTTGTGACGTAAAATTCTACAGTTAATAAAAGAAATATGGAACCCTCATGGAAAAAAAGGTTTGCCTTTACTGGCTACTTTTACCCTTTACAATGCAATAATACTTTTAGCACCATCTCTCTAATATAATAGGACACCTTTTATAAAAAGTTCAAGTGAATTGGTAAACAAAGATGAAAGTGTGCTGCAAATGATACTTACAGAAGTGTATGCTGTAAGATGACAAAAATAAATTAGTTTCAGAAATTAATAAACACTCCAAAAAGAATCTGTGGTTTAAAAAAAAAAAAAAAAAAAAAAGTGCCTTTCTAAAGAAAAAAGAACCCATTTGCTGAGGCCTTATAAAGTTACAACACATTAAATGTATCCCTAAAGTAATTTATATTCAATGTTCTAAATTGTTATACTCCTTAAAACCTAAAACTTCATTATTGAAAGACTAGTCCATCAAGTATATCACATATAAAGCAAGAGATTTCTTTTTCCTTCCATAACTCTACATTTCAAAACTAGAATTGTTTTCCTAGTATATTAAACATGTATACAGAAAACTCTTATTTACTGAAAAGTCACTATTCTTACCTTCAATGGTTTAATCTGATCCAAACCCATATAGGAGTCTGATCTCAGAAACACAGTATACTGATAATTTCCAGGCTTGCCTGGTGCAGGAAACTTCAGCTCTACCTAGAAGATAAAATCAGAACTTAAATATCTGTATTATGGGGAGGAAACAGCTCACTCCCTAAAATTCCTAGACCACAGTATTTAACAGCCAGGTTTTTTCTGCAGATGATACAGAAAGCCCAAACAAATGTCACTGAAGTCCTTATAAACAATAATAAAGAAAAGTGAAATGTATTACATATTATAAATACCTCACAAAGAGGAGATCAAATTATGCAGAACTGTTGAGGTTAATTTGTATCTCCACAATTTAAGAAAAAAGTACTTAAAGCAACCAAATTCTATGCTATCACCTTGAAGAAATTAAGTAGGTATAAAAGCATAAATGAAATGTTGGAATTAAACAACAGACTTCACTAGATAGGAGATACTTCTTGCCAAATTTTCTTATTTCTAGAATAAATGCCCAATGCCAAAGGTCAAGAAGGTATTTTACTTACCATCAAATCATAAACTTCAAATACAAATAACAAATCTTAAAAAAGTTTCTATTCCACTTGGACAAAAGAAGAACAATTTTTTTTTAAATGACATTTGTAAGCGCTGGTGATCTGCCTCTAATCTCCAAAATCCAGATTTTATAGTCAAGATTAAATATTAAAATATGCCAGTTTTTAAAAAAACTAGAAAAAATCATGAAGGAATCTTTTTTTAAAAATTAATCTCAGTTTGGCTTAACTATAACACAAACCTATAAATTATTTTTTAAAAAAAAAAAAACTCTTTAAATCATACTACAAAAAATAAATAAGAAAATGGATAAACAAATAGGTATTTATATTTCTGCCTGGTAGAAACAACCAGAATAGTAAAACAAACTGGGGAGAAATATTTGTAACACATATCACAAAGGGCTGATTTCTTAACATTAAAAAAAAAAAAAAATCCCAATTTTTTAAGACTCAAGAAAAGTGAACAATGGCCAGACACATTAAAAAGGTGACTCAAACACACTGAAAGTTAAGTTTCACTCTTCAGAGAAATAAAAACTACACTGAATAGAATAAGCAGAGTAAAAATTTATTCAGACAAGAATCATCAATATATGCTTAAAATGACTGGCTAAAACAATGTTGGAGAATAGGACATTCACACAGGGCCCAAATATCACCCCACAGATTAGAGGGGGAGAAAAATACCTTTACAATAGAGAAAAACCATAGCTAAATGAGCAACCTTAATTAATATCACCAACATAGGGCAGAGGCATATACTGTACCTCTAATATAATGCAGTAAGAAGTACATCACCAACATAGCTTGCTTGCCAAAAACACGAAGATGAATAAAGAGTAACCAACAAGACAAAGTCATATTAAGTGATATTGTACAAAACACTTTGCCTGGATTCTTGAAAAATGTCAGCGGCATGCAAAGATTAAAAAAGAACAAGGACAAGAAAGCATTCAACACTAAAGAGGCATGACAACCAAATACAATGTAAAAAGGTCTTTTTTTCTTTCTTTCGAGACAGGTCACTCTGTTGCCCAGGCTGAAGTACAGGGGCATGATCATGGCTCATTGCAGCTTCAACCTCATGGGCTCAAGTGATTCTCCTGCCTCAGCCTCCTGAGTTAGGCTGGGACTACAGGCACGAGTCGCCACATCCAGCTACAATGTGTGATCCTTGATTAGATCCTGAGTTTAAAAATAAAACCAAAAACTGTAACAGACATTAGTGGAATTGTTGAGGAAATTTGAATACAGACTGCATATTAGATAATTATGCCATACCAATGTTAAATTTCCTGAGTATAATCATTGTAGTGGGCCTATGGAGAAGGTCCTGGTTTTTGTTTTTGTTTTTTAAGAGACAGGGCCTCACCATGTTGCCCAGACTGCTCCTGAATTCCTGGGCTCGAGTGATCTGGCCACCTTGGCCTCCCAAAGTGCTGGAATTACAGGTGTGAGCCACCGCACCCAGCCCAAGGCCCTGGTTCTTAAGGGATACATGTCAAGTAGTTAGGGGTAGCATGTCATGGTATCTACAAGTACCTCAAATGGTTCAGGGGAAAACACACACACATGTGCATGTTTTGTATGTACACATACAGTGAGAGAAAGATAAAACAAGTAACAGCTAAATGTAAACAACTGGTGAAGATAGGTAGGGATCTAGGGAGGTTTCATGATACTGTGCTTGTAACTTTTCAATAGGTTTTAAAACTTAAAAGATCAGAGAGGCCAGGCACAGTGGCTCATGCCTGTAATCCCAGCACTTTGGGAGGCCAAAGCAGGCGGATCTCTTGAGCTCAGGAGTTTGAAACCAGCCTGGGCAACATGGGTAAACCCCATCTCTACAAAAAATACAAAAATTAGCCAGGCACGGTGGTGCATGTATGTAGTACCAGCTACTTGGGAGGCTGAGGTGGGAGAGCCTGGGAGGCGGAGGTTGCAGTAAGCCAAGACTGTGTCACTGCACTCCAGCCTAGGTGACATAGCCAGACCCTGTCTCAAAAAAATGATCAGAGGAAAAAATTTAAAAAAAAAAAAAAAACCCAAAGATCTAAGATGCTATTTTTCACCTTTCCAACTAGCAATGATATTCAAAATGTATGACATGCTGAGAGGCATTAGGCATATTTAGACATTCATTCTTTATTTATAGAGAAATAAAATATCTAGCAATATAGGTCAAAATTACAAACATACAGAGCCTCTGGCCCATCAATTCAACCTCTATAAATTTATTATTAACCTATTTCATGCATTTACCACTTGATTACAAAGGGTTAAAAAATATGTACTAAAAATCAACATCATAGGGCTATCTTGAAAAGCTTTTGTCCACCAAGTACAGGCAGACAGAACCTTCTTCCTATAAAAAAAAAAAAAAAATCAAGAAAAACAACAACAAAAATGCAGTTCCCAAAGGTAAATATGTTCATCACAATGTTACTTCACTGATGTCATTAACAGTGAACAATATCACGTAATCAAAAATTCCACTCAAAAAATCCACATCATCAGTTCTTATATTTTTTAAGACAAAAGATCTAATACTTAACACTAATCCAATAAGAACAAAAATCCTATTACTAAATTCTGGAGAGGAGGAGGAAAGGCATATGTTCTTAGACACTAACAGTGAAAACTCCCAAAACAAGCTAAGAACAAGTTTTTAAAACATTGACTAAGTTGCCTACCTTTAACAATTATTTATAAATTTCCAACGAGCTCACCCCCAAAACATCAGAGAACAGTTACAAAATGCAGGCAACGAACAGAATACAATATGCTAAATATGATAAACTGCTTTTTAAAAAAAAGATATATGAAGATATATGAAGCAGCATGATAGTGACAGCTGTGCCTTTTTAAATACTGAAATCATGTTGTGTGATAGTTACCTCCTCTGTATCTTTCAGTGTACACACATGATATGGCATAGATATTAATGTCTGCTCCTTCCTATCTGCAATGTAAAGCCACCACCATTCTTGTTTTTCCTGGAAAGAAAAGAAGAAGAAGAGTATAAATAATCAGAAAGAACTAGAGAGAACATAATTTTGGCCTCTCTTATCTTAGAGATTCTCTGCACTGACAAAGTGCTTGGTACAAAATAGGTGTTCAAATGAATATTTATTGAAAGAATAAGCTGTTCTTAACATTTGTAGAGCCATTGCCTAAAAACATTCCGTATCCAATTTTGGGGATTTCAATAGCTCCTTGAAACCTATTGATTGGCCTTCATATTAAAAACCTCATGACTAACCTTAAGGAACAAGCATTATTCTAAATATATACAACTATTACAACAGCATGTAGCAAATAATCTTAGTAATCTTACCTAGTAATAAGAAAAAGCCACAAAGTAGGAGTGGAAGAAACTTGGGCAGCCAAATCAAAAATCAATACATTAAATACTTTATATACTTTTAAGAGGATATTTCAGATTGTAAGAGTCTATTTATACTTTCCACTGCCCATGATTGTACTAAACTTGGCATTTCTAGCTGAACTCCAAAAAAATTAGGAACAGAAAAAAGAGCTGGGTTTAAAAAAAAAAAAATTCACCAGAATATCAAAATGTACACAATGACAGCAGGGAAAAATCAGAGAACAAGAGACAGAAAAGTATTAAATATATACATAAATTTTAGGCAGGGTGCAATGGCTCACGCCTGCAATCCCAGCACTTTGGGAGGCCGAGACAGATGGATCATGAGGTAAGGAGATCGAGACCATCCTGGCTAACACAGTGAAACCCCGTCACTACTGAAAATACAAAAAATTAGCCAGGCATGGTAGCAGGCGCCTGTAGTCCCACCTACTCGGGAGGCTGAGGCAGGAGAATGGCGTGAACCCGGGAGGCGGAGCTTGCAGTGAGCCCAGATCGCGCCACTGCACTCCAGCCTGGGCACAGAGCAACACTCTGTCTCAAAAAAAAAAAAAAAAAAAAAAAAATATATATATATATATATATATGTATGTATGTATGTATGTATGTATGTATTTTAGAAAGCCAAGTCTAAAAGCACCAAACCTCCGTGCATTCAGCAACAACTGCTCTATTACAGCACACTTCAGTTAACTATTTAGTCATCTGCTTAGTAACACCTGTTTAAGAGTTGGGTAGGGAAGTATCTTTCTAAAACGGTTTAAAGAAAAATGTTTTACAGCTTAAAATAAACTCTAGGATGTTCTAAATATTTATTTAACCAAAATAGTACTAGACTATTCTAAATTCTCAATTGTCTGAAATGGGTTAAAATATCATCTTACTGAAACAGTTTCTTTGAGAAAACATGGGGTTTTTTTGTTTTGTTTTTTGTTGAGACAGGGCCTCACTCTGTCACCCAGGCTGGAGTGCAGTGGCACTATCTCAGCTCACCTCACTGCAACCTCTGCCTCTGGGGCTCAAGTGATCCTCCCACCTCAGCTTCCCGAGTAGCTGAGACTACAGGCACGCACTACAACGTCTGGCTAATTTTTGTATTTTTTGTAGAAACAGGATTTCATTTATTTTGCCCAGGCTGTCTTGAACTCCTGGGCTCAAGCAATCCTCCCACTTAGGCCTCCCATAAGTGCTAGGATTACAGGCATGAGCCACCACACCTGGCCCATATTTATGTTTTTAAACTAAAATTGCTGCACTTTCTATTTTAACTATAAAAATAGATTAAAATTTGGTTTATCTTTCAAACACTACTATACTAAGCACAACTAAAAACTCTTCTGTTTAAATACCTTAGGAGATAAAGCACTGCAACATTAATAAGCCTAATAAATAAATGACAAGTACATGGTGACATGAGCAGCAGCTAACAAGAAAATTAAATTCTGCTTAAACCAAGGGTTAGGACTACTACCGTAGGCATATTTGTATATATAACTTATGTGTGTAAATACATAACAGCCTCAAAGTGGAATATTAACACCTCTGTTGCGGCTACTCAAATCTGCCCTTGCAGCATGAAAAAAAATGAATGTGGCTGTATTCTAATAAAACTTTATTTACAATAAAGTCTCATTGACAAAAACAGGAAGGGAGCCAGATCTGGCCTGTAGACTGCAGTTTAAAAATATCTGTTTTAAAGACACAGAAACCTGGGTTATTTCACCTCCCTAAAATCTCATTTTCTTTTCAACAATCAGTGCCTACTTCTGGCCATGTTGCAAAGATGATCTGAGAAAATACAAATAAAAAATGTATGTTAGAAAGCCTAGCACATGCAGTATAATAAATGGCAGTTATGATTATTAGTGACATGAGGTACAATAACAGTTCTTTTACTTAAGTCATTTTGACATTTGTCAGAAACATCATTACCACAACAAGTAGGGAATGTAAGCAGCACAGGATTATGTTGAAGATTATGCACTTCTTCACCTCCCTACTTAGAGAATGCCTTTCCCTGCAACCTCTCAGCCTATTTAATTACAATGAGATGCACTCAATATTAAGGGCCAGCCACGGTGGCTCACACCTGTAGTCCCAGCACTTTGGGAGGCCAAGGCGGGTGGATCACCTGAGGTCAGGAGATCAAGACCAGCCTGACCAACACGGAGAAACCCCGTCTCTACCAAAAATACAAAATCAGCTGGGCGTGGGGGCAAATGCCTGCAATCCCAGCTACTGGCTCAAAAAAAAAAAAAAAAGAAAAAGAATATTTATTAAAAAGCCAATGAATATCAATTAATGGCACTATACTTGTGCCTAGACTCTGATGCACATGTTAAAAGTGAAACAGATGTTCTATGAGTTTGCACTTTAGACAAAACCATTTTTCTTGTGTGAGATTCCCAACCATTCTTAACACATTAAATACAATAGATGAATTTCACTAACATGTAAGTCAAATATTACTAAGTGGTAGTTTGGTAGTTAGGTTACTTAGGTAAGAAATATGGAAATGTAGATACATAAAGAGGTTAGGAAGATCCTAAATAAATTTTGTTTGTTCATTTGTTTTGTTTTGTGTGAGACAGAGTCTCGCTCTGTCACCAAGGCTGGAATGCAATGGCACAATCTTGGCTCACTGCAACCTCCGCCTCCCAGGTTCAAGCAATTCTCCTGCCTCAGCCTCCCAAGTAGCTGGGATTACAGGCACCCACCACCACAGCCGACTAATTTTTTGTTTTTTGAGACAGAGTTTCACTCTTGTTGCCCAGGCTGGAGTGCAATGGTGCCATCTCGGCTCACCACAACCTCCAGCTCCTGGGTTCAAGCGGTTCTCCTGCCTCAGCCTCCTGAGTGGTGGGATTACAGGAATGTGCCACCATGCCCGGCCAATTTTGTATTTTTAGTAGAGACGGGGTTTTGCCATGTTGGCCAGGCTAGTCTCAAACTCCTGGCCTCAGGTGATCCACCCACCCACCTCAGCCCCACAAAGTGCTGGGATTACAGGTGTGAGCCACTGAGCCCGGCCCTAAATAAATTTTATCTGATAAACAATGATCTTAAATGTTTACCATGCAGATGCAGATTAAATTTGAAAAAGGCATTTCGCTGATAAAAATGATTCTTATTTTTTTTGAGACAAGGTCTCGCTCTGTCATCCAAGTTGGAATTCAGTAGCACAATCATAGCTCACTGCAGCCTCAATCTCCTGGGCTCAAGTGATCCTCCAACCTCAGCTTCCCAAGTAGCCTAGGACCACAGGCATGAGCCACTAATGTGCATTAGTGGCATGTGGCCACTAACAAATGTTCTAAGGGAGTGAATGAATGTTTTTCTTATTAACTAAGCATGGTCTAAAATGAAACTGTCTGTTATATGGGTACACACTAGGCAGCTTTGAGCACCCCATGGCACTTTTTACAACAATCAATGAATGGAATTTACTTGCTTCATTTCAGGATGCCTGGTGTTGGCAGGCTACCTCTACAATGGGCAAAATGCTCCTAACAGATGGACTAAAGCTCAGGACATGCCAGAAGATCAGCGTGTGCATTAAGATGGAATCCTGGGCAGACTTCTCTCTAAGTCAAAACAACAGTCTGTGCAGAGCCACTCATTTATTACTAAGAGAGCCAAATTATTTAGGAATTTGCCTTAAGCAGTCCCCAGAAACTCTAGATTGACATTCTCAAGCAGAAAGTAGATTTATACATGAAATCACCTGCCAAACACAAGTGGTGAGCAGAAGGTTCTGTGGCAAAGCTGTGAGGTAGTCTGTGGAACAGTTTCCCGAACTGGGGGAACCAGTTCTTGACCTCTGCTCCAGACAGAATTATACTCTAATGCAAAATGTCAATGGAATCCCAAGGTAATTTGAAAGATGAACAACACAGGCTATCAAGGAGATCTAAAGTTGAGCAGGCTGCAATTACAAAGTAAACAAGGACAAGGCAACAAATAGCATTGTAATGACCTGTCCTGAGCCCGGGGCTCAGTCATGATCAAGCTCTTATGGAACTTTATTTATTAGAGCCAAGAACACAGTTGGTCCCACAGCCATGGGCTCACACATTTCCATGGACTGCGACAACAATAACCAGGGTCAGAGCAATTCTAATGGTTCCATGTGACCAGCAGGATCCTCAGAGGGAAAATTTAAGTATTTTTTTATCCTATTTAAAAGTTGGCAGAGGTGAGAGATTCACAATAGTTAAGTATTCAAAGGCAAAGTACGCATTTTTCTGATGAAGACTGCCTAATCTGCTAATAAGAAATCACCATTATGCACAACACTCAGTAATTAGGGCACAGAAAAGATAGCAGCAAAGAAAACCACAGAAATACTTAAGAAGCTAACCATCTCTTTTATAAGCAACACGTTCCCTAAGTATAATACCTATTGTAATATTCCCTTTAAAAATATGGCCTTTCAGGACAGACCACATTTAGCACATATGAACTAATATACACGACAGAGGGCTAAAAGTCAACTGACAAATCCCAGAGGAGAAAGTGAATGGAATAAGGAACACACTAGCCTGTATATAACTCACCTCAGGAAAGTAAAGGCTATACACAGGATGTGTTATCTTTGATTTGGTTTCCAGTAGAGCTCTCTCTTTTCGCTGTATGCTTTGTTGTAATTCTTGCCACTCCTAGTAAACAAAAAAATTAAAATATTTACAATCTAGTATGTGTTTTATCACTTTGAGGAGTTTCCAGGTATTATTCCTGACAATGCTAATTAACTACTTAGGATTAGAACAAGTTCAGTTCCACAAATCTGATCATCTCCCTGCTCATCCTTACAATGCCTTTTTAAATATATTAAATCTAACCACTGTAGTATCAACTACATAGCTGTTAATTATCTGACCCTAGCCTGCCTCTCTTCGGTCTCCTGTCACTGCCTCCCTCCTTGTGCTTTTTATTCTAGTCATTTCAAACTACCTATACTTCTCTGAACTTACCAAACTATTTTACTCTTCCTAAACCCTGTTTAGACTTTGGTTTCTTCCTTTCTCTGACTACTCATTATTATTTAGGACCAGCTAAAGCCCAAAGTATGAACTCCTGAGTAAAGCTCCCATAAATTCCCTTCTATCTCAGGACTGAACTGATCACTCCCTCCTTACGTACCTTGCATAAGATGTGTATAATTTCATATGTACTATAATATTTATCTACAAATCTGCCTGCTCCATTAGCCTACGTATCATTCAAGAGCTGCAGCTGTTTCACATTTGGCTTTGTAATTCTTTAATCTCAGATAGCCTTGGGATGTGACAGATAATAAATAATGATTTGTTGATTTAATGAATGTATTTTTGGTCATATGAAGAAATCAGTCTGTCAACACCCTAAGAGTCACTGCTACTAACCCTAATATACTTAGGAATATGTCAATTCTCAAAGTCAGGTCAGGGATATAAGGTATTTGACAGATTTTAGTTTCCTGGCAATCAATTTAATTCTCCAAGTACAAAAAAAGCCAAGGCCCTGCAAATGCTAACAGCAGTCGTCTTTGTTTTCTACCATTCCCAAGGCCAAGTGTGTTATTACTCCCTTATACTTTTATCCTTTGCCCTTTACCTCCTTCCTCCTTTTTGGGCCTCTCGTTTGCCTCTGAGGCTATTCAGGCAATCCCTTTTTATCTCCTAAACTACAGTGTTACTTTTAGATCAATGGCCACTCAAAAAGAACAACGCTAACAAAACCTAAAGGAAATGGCCAGTTTATTTGCAGTGAGACTCTAAGGACCACATTCTTCTCTATAATTCTCCCATAAATCATGTGCAACTTAATGCCATGAGATTTTTCTTCTATACTCTGTACTTTCACACCATATTAATAAATTCTCTAAAGACTTCCCCTGTCCTTAATATATCTTATATACACCCACGAAACAAGGTGGTATTCTATAAAAGTTAGCTTTTCCCTTAACCAACCTCTTGACATCAGGGTCCACAGTACTGTTTCTCTACAGTAAACATGACCTGGAGCTCGTGACACAGCCTTCCAAGTAAGCACTATGCATTTCACAAACACCTTTCCTTACTCGTATTTCCAGAGATATCCCCAACACTGAAAATCCCCTTATGAGATCAACTGACCTAACCTCAAAACCAGGTCCTACTCCACCTAACAGTTTAATATTTAAGAAAATGAGGATTTCCAATCCTTGTTAGAAATCATTTTTCTTTATAACCTTGACTACCATTCCTTAAAAACGTTTTTCAAAGTAATAAAATTATAAAATATACAGGTAATATTTAAAGCAAGCAAGCGAGCAAGCAAACAAACGACGACAAAACCCAAAGCTATCATCAGAGATATAATTCCAATTATTTAAACCTATAAGGCTTACTGCTTCATCATCTTTGTTCTGTTTTTCATCTTGCTCTCTATCAGAGTCTCTGTCACTACCATCATCTTTTTCACTTTGGGAATCTCTATTGGTTTCTTCTTCTTCAGAATCACTGCCCTTATCTGAAACTTCTTCTTCATCTTCCTTTACTGCAGCTTCCTAAAAGGAAAAAGCAAACACAAAGATTCTGCGTATCTCAATGAGCACATATTAATCTGAATCCCTGAAGTTAACTTATTGTCAACATAACTAAACTGACTCGATGACAATTTCACTATTCATATATAATTTTTTAAAATTATAAACATTCCTACTTATAAAGATGTGGGAGTCAGACTGACGAGTTTAGTACCTGGCTAGTCTGTCTGTTGTTAGTTATTTTATTCATTCTTCATAATTTGTCAAATGAAAGTATTTCTATTTGTAAAGCCCAGTAACACAAAGGCTAAGATGGTTCTGCTTTCAAAAACATCAATTATATTTTATTTAAGGAAACAGGTAGTTTATAGAAAAGTATAATGTTGGGGCTAGCCACAGTGACATACACTCTCACATGTACTAGCCTTTGGAGGGGCGAGCGGGCCTGGCCCACCACCAGGCAACATAGCAAAGACTGATCCTTTAAAAAAAAAAAATCCACTAGGCTGAATGGTACACCATCTGTAGGTCCCCAGCTAGTTGGGAGGTTGAGGTGGGAAGAATCACTTGAGCCCAGGAGTTAAGGCTGCAGTAAGCCATGACCATGCCACAGCACTTCAGTGTGGTGGCAGAGGCAAGACCCTATCTCAAAAAACAGGAAGAGAGGAAGGAAGGGAGGGGAGAGGGAGAGGGAGAGGGAGGGGGAGGGAGGAGGGAGGGAGGGAGGGAGGAGGAGGGAAGGAAGGAGGAAGGAAGGAAGGAGAAGGAAGGAAAAGTGCTTCTTTGGAAGTATAGAATCACTTTATTTAACAGGGTATGATGCAGTAAGGCCAAGGCAGTATCTCTAGCAAAATACTAGCTCACTTCAAGAATCAAAAGAGAACAGCAAATTAAATGCAAAGAAAGCAGAAAATAAGGCAGGACGGTGGCTCATGCCCTTTGTAATCCGCAGCACTTTGAGGAGGCCTGAGGCAGGTGGAGTATTTAAGGCCAGGAGTTTGAGACCCAGCCTGGACCCAACATAGTGAACACCCCATCTCAACTAAAAAATACAAACCAAAAAACAAAAAAAAAAACCTAAGCCTGGGCCGTGGTAGCACATGCCCTGTAATCTCAGCATTAACTTGGGAGGCTGAGGCGCAGGAGAATCACATTGGTAACTTGGTAGGCGGAGGTTTGCCCAGTGAGCCACCGCGCCTGAGTAACAGAGTATGACTGCTGTCTCAAAAAACAAATCAAAAAAAAGCAGGAATAGAGAATAGAACAAGAAACTTAAAACTAAAAGTTCGGTTCTTCTGAAAAGGTTACATACAATTGACTTAAACCCCTAAGCAAGAAGATGATTCAAGAAAAAAAAAAAAAACCAATAAAATTACCAATATGATGAACAAAAACGAGGCGTAACTATATCCAACAGACTTAAAAGAAAATGATGAATATATGTTAGTGCCAACAAATTTAATAAGAGAAATAGACAAAATTCCTTGAAAAACACCAATTTTGCTAAAATCAATAAGAAAAATGCAGATATATATTAAAGAAGAAACTCCACAAAATAAACCTCCCTTTGAAAACCTCAGGCCAGATGGTTCCTGGAGAATTCTTCCACAGACTAAAAAAAACAAATTGAAGCTTACACATACTCTTTCGTGAGCAAAAAAGGAATACTTCCTAGCTTGATTAATAACCCAAGCATAAATCTGATACAAAACCTGACAAGGATATTACAAAAAAAGAGAATGACAAACCAATATTTGCTCTTAAAATTAGATGTGAGAATACAAAGAAAATACCGTCAATCCAGATAAATTAAAAAGGATACTAACGTTATGGCCAAATGATATTTTTTCCAGGAATGCAGGGATGGTTTCAAATTTTTTAAATCCATCCAATCTAATTCAACAGAAAGGAAAAAGTAAAAAAAAAAACAAAACAAAACAAACAAAAAACAAAACCTTTAATAACATTCACTATTTGCTAGTAATAAAAATTCTCAGCAAACGTGAAAATAAAAGGCCAACAGCTTCCTTAACCTAACAAAGAATAGTTACAAAAAACTTACACCTAACATCACATTTAGTGGTAAAATAATGTTTGCTTTCTTCCTAAGACCAACAATAAGATAAGGTTTCTACTATCATAACTCTGAATAAATATTACACTGAAAGTTCTAGTCAGCACAGTGAGACAGAAAGGAAGAAAGGGTATAAAGATTAAAAAGAAAAAAGTAAAACTGTCTTTATTCACAGATGGCAACATTGTATATGTAGAAAATCTTTATTAAAATATCTACAAATGGTTAGAATTATTGCCAATTCGTTAAGACTCTTTGATACAAGGTCAATATTTAGAAGCAACTATTTCTATACACCAGCAACAAACACCAAATAAAAATTTTAATGACATTTACGGTGATATCAGAAAGGATCAAATACATAGGGGTAAATCTAACGAAAGATGTGCCATACCTCTGCCACTGGAAATTACAAAACACTGCTGAGAAAAATTAGGGAAGATCCAAATTAATGAAGATAAACCACAATCATGCATAACAAGACTCAGTATTGTTAACATGTCAATTCTCCCCATATTGAACCATGGATTCAGTGCAATACCAATGTAAATTTCAGCAGCTTTTTTGGGGGGAAATTGTTAAGCTTATTCTAAAAACTGGCAGGAAATGTAAAGGAATTAAAACAGGAAAATTTTGATCAGGGAAAATTTTGATCAGTAAAACAGAGTTGGAGCACTTACACTACATATTTTGAGACTTAACATAAAGCTACAACAATTAAAACTGTATGGCACTGGCATAAGAAAAGACAAATAATCAATAGAATGAACAGGACAGTCCATAAACAAACCTACACATCATATACAGTATCACCTGTTGTTTTTTTTAATTATACTTAAAGTTCCAGGGTGCATGTGCAAAATGTGCAGGTTTGTTACACAGGTACACACATGCCATGGTGGTTTGCTGTACCCATCAACCCATCATCTACATTAGGTATTTTTACTAATGCAATCCCTCCCCTAGCCCACCACCACCTGACAGGCCCCAGTGTGTGATGTTCCCCTCCATGTCCATGTGTTCTCATTGTTCAACTCACACTTACGAGTGAGAACATGCCAGTGTGTGGATTTCTGTTCTTGTGTTAGTTTGCTGAGAATGATGGTTTCCAACACCATCCATGTCCCTGCAAAGGGCATGAACTCATCCTTTTTTATGGCTGCATACTATTCCATGGTGTATATGTGCCACATTTTCTTTATCTAGTCTATCATTGATGGGCATTTGGGTTGGTTCCAAGTCTTTGCTGTTGTAAACAGTGCCACAATAAACATACGTGTGTATGAGTCTTTATAGTAGAATGACTTATAATCCTTTGGGTATATACCCAGTAATGGGATTGCTGGGTAAATATTGCTAGTTCTAGATCCTTGAGGAATCGCCACACTGTCTTCCACAATGGTTGAACTAGTTTACAGTCCCACCAACAGTGTAAAAACGTTTCTATTTCTCCACATCCTCTCCAGCATCTGTTGTTTCCTTTTTACTGATTGTCATTCTAACTGGCGTGAAATGGTATCTCACTGTGGTTTCGATTTGCATTTCTCTAATGACCAGTGATGATGAGCTTCTCTTCATATTTTTGTTGGCTGCATAAATGTCTTCTTTTGAGAAGAGTCTGTTCATATCCTTTGCCCACTTTCTGATGGAGTTGTTTGTTTTTTTCTTGTAAATCTGTTTACGTTCTTTGTAGATTCTGGCTATTGGCCCTGTGTCAGATGGATGGATTGTAAAAACTTTCTCCCATTCTGTGGGTTGCCTGTTCACTCTCATGATAGGTTGTTTTTTGCTTTTTGCTGTGCAGAAGCTCTTTAGTTCAATCAGATTCCGTTTGTCTATTTTGGCTTTTGTTGCCATTGCTTTTGGTGTTTTAGTCAAGAAGTCTTTGCCCATGCCTATGTCCTGAGTGGTATTGCCTAGGTTTTCTTCTAGGGTTTTTATGGTTTTAAGTCTTAAGTCTTTAATCCATGTTGAGTTAATTCTTGTATAAGGTGTATGGAAGGATCCAGTTCCTGCTTTCTGCGTATGGCTAGTCAGTTTTCCCAATACCATTTATTAAATAGGGAATGCTTTCCCCATTGCTTGTTTTTAACAGGTTTGTCAAAGATCAGATGGTTGTAGATGTGTGGCATTATTTCTGAGGCCTCTGTTCTGTTCTATTAGTCTATATATCTGTTTTGGTATAAGTACCATGCTGTTTTGGTTACTGTAGCCTTGTGGTACAGTTTGAAGTCAGGTAGCGTGATGCCTCCAGCTTTGTTCTTTTTGCTTAAGATTGTCTTGGCTATGCGGGCTCTTCTTTGGTTCCACATGAAATTTAGTTTTTTCCAATTCTGTGAAGAAAGTCAACAGTAGCTTGATCGGGATAGCATTGAATCTATAAATTACTTTGGCGAGTGTGGCCATTTTGACAATATTGATTTTTCCTATCCATGAGCATGGAATGTTTTCCATTTGTTTGTGTCCTCTCTTATTTCCTTGAGCAGTGGTTTGTAGTTCCCCTTGAAGAGGTCCTTGTAAGTTGTATTCCTAGGTATTTTATTCTCTTTGTGGCAATTGTGAATGGGAATTCACTGATGGCTTGGCTCTCCGTTTGTATGTTATTGGTGTATAGGAATGCTTGTGATTTTTGCACACTGATTTTGTATCCTGAGACTTAGCTGAAGTTGCTTATCAGCTTAAGGAGATTTTGGGCTGAGACGATGGGGTTTTCTAAATATACAATCATGTCATCTGCAAATAAAGACAATTTGACTTCCTCTTTTCCTAACTGAATACTCTTTCTTTCTTTTGCCTGACTGCCCTGGCCAGAACTTCCAATACTATGTTGAATAGGAGTGGTGAGAGAGGGCATCCCTGTCTTGTGCCAGTTTTCAAAGGGAATGCTTCCAGTTTTTGCCCATTCAGTATGATACTGGCTGTGGGTTTGTCACAAATAGCTCTTATTTTGAGATACATTCCATCAAGGCCTAGTTTATTGAGAGTTTTTAGCATGAAGGGCTGTTGAATTTTGTCAAAGACCTTTTCTGCATCTATTGAGATAATCATGTGGTTTTTGTCATTGGTTCTGTTTATTTGATGGATTACATTTATTGATTTGCGTATGTTGAACCAGCCTTGCATCCCAGGGATGAAGCCGACTAGATGGTGGTGGATAAGCTTTCTGATGTGCTGCTGGATTCGGTTTGCCAGTATTTTATTGAGGATTTTCACGTCAATGTTCATCAGGGATATTGGCCTGAAATTTTCTTTTTTTGTTGTGTCTCTGCCAGGTTTTGGTATCAGGATGATGCTGGCCTCATAAAATGAGTTAGGGAGGATTCCCTCTTTTTCTATTGTTTGGAATAGTTTCAGAAGGAATGGTATCAGCTCCTCTTTGTACCTCTGGTAGAATTTGGCCGTGAAACTATCTGGTCCTGGACTTTTTTTGGTTGGAAGGCTATTAATTGCTGCCTCAATTTCAGAGATTATTATTGATCTAGTCAGGAATTTGACTTCCTCCTGGTTTAGTCTTGGGAGGGTGTATGTGTTCAGGAATTTATCCATTTCTTCTAGATTTTCTTGTTTATTTGTGTAGAGGCATTTATAGTATTCTCTGATGGTAGTTTGTATTTCTGTGGAATCAGTGGTGATATCCCCTTTATCATTTTTTTATTGCATCTTTTTTATTCTTCTCTCTTTTCTTCTTTATTAGTCTGGCTAATGGTCTATCTATTTTGTTGATCTTTTCAAAAAACTAGCTCCCAGATTCACTGATTTTTTTGATGAGTTTTTTGTGTTTCTATCTCCTACAGTTCTGCTCTTAGTTATTTCTTGTCTTCTGCTAGCTTTTGAATTTGTTTGCTCTTGCTTCTCTAGTTCTTTTGTGATGTTAGGGTGTCAATTTTAGATCTTTCCTGCTTTCTCTTGTGGGCATTTAGTGCTATAAATTTCCCTCTACACACTGCTTCAAATGTGTCCCAGAGATTCTGGTACATTGTGTCTTTGTTCTCATCGGTTTCAAAGAACATCTTTATTTCTGCCTTCATTTCATTATTTACCCAGTAGTCATTCAGAAGCAGGTTGTTCAGTTTCCATGTAGTTGTGCAGTTCTGAGCAAGTTTCTTAATCCTGAGTTCTAATTTGATTGCGCTGTGGTCTAAGAGATTGTTTGTCATGATTTCTATTCTTCTGCATTTGCTGAGGAGTGTTTTACTTCCAGTTATGCAGTCAATTTTGGAATAAGTGCGATGTGGTGCTGAGGAGAATGTGTATTCTGTCGATCTGGGCTTTACAATTTGGTATGTTTTTGCAGTGGCTGGTACCAGTAGTTACTTTCCACGTTGAGTACTTCCTTCAGGAGCTCTTGTAGGGCAGGTCTGGTGGTGACAAAATCTCTCTGCATTTGCTTGTCTGTAAAGGATTTTATTTCTCCGTCGCTTATGAAGCTTAGTTTGGCTAGATATGAAATTCTGGGTTGAAAATTCTTTTCTTTAAGAATGTTGAATATCGGGCCCCACTCTCTCTTCTGGCTTGTAGGGTTTCTGCCGAGAGATCTGCTGTTAGTCTGATGGGCTTCCCTTTGTGGGTAACCCGATCTTTCTCTCTGGCTCCTCTTAATATTTTTTCCTTCATTTTAACCTTGGTGAATCTGATGATTATGTGTCTTAGGGTTGCTCTTCTCAAGGAGTATCTTCGTGGTGTTCTCTGTATTTCCTGAATTTGAATGTTGGCCTGCCTCGCTAGGTTAGGGAAGTTCTCCTGGATAATGTCCTGAAGAGTATCTTCCACCTTGGTTTCATTCTCCCCGTCACTTTCAGGTACACCAATCAAACACAGATTTGGTCTTTTCACAGAGTCCCATACTTCTTGCAGGCTTTGTTCGTTTCACTCTTTCTTCTCTAATCTTGTTTTCTCGCTTTATTTCATCGAGTTGATCTTCAATCTGATATCCTTTCTTCTGCTTGATCAATTTGGCTACTGGGACTTGTGAATGTTTCACGAAGCTCTCGTGCTGTGTTTTTCAGCTCCATCATGTAATTTATGTTCTTCTCTACACTGGTTATTCTAGTTAGCAATTCGTCTAACCTTTTTTCAAGGTTCTTAGCTTCCTTGCATTGGGTTAGAACATGCTCCTTTAGCTAGAAGGAGTTTGTTATTACTCACCTTCTGAAACCTACTTCTGTCAGTTCATCATTCTCCATCCAGTTCTGTTCCCTTGCTGGCAAGGAGTTGTGATCCTTTAGAGAAGAGGCGTTCTGGTTTTTGGAATTTTCAGCCTTTTGGGGCTGATTTCTCCCCATCTGCATGGATTTATCTACCTTTGGTCTTTGAAGTCAGTGACCTTCGGATGGAGTCTCTTGAGTAGACATCCTTTTGTTGATGTTGATACTATTCCTTTCTATTTGTTAGTTTTCCTTCTAACAGTCAGGCCCCTTTGCTGCAGGTCTGCTGGAGTTTGCTGGAGGTCTGCTCCAGACCCTGTCTGCCTGGATATCACCGGTGGAGGCTGCAGACCAGCAAAGATTGCTGCCTCTTCCTTCCTCTGGAAGCTTTGTCCCAGAGGGGCACCCGCCAGATGCCAGCCAGAGCTCTCCTGTATGAGGTGTCTGTTGTAGGAGATGTCTCCCAGTCAGGGTACATGGGGGTCAGGGACCCACTTGAGGAGGCAGTCTGTCCCTTATCAGAGCTTGAATGCTGTGCTGGTAGATCTGCTGCTCTCTTCAGAGCTGCCAGGTAGGGATGTTTAAGTCTGCTGAAGCTGCACCCACAACTGCCCCTTCCCTGAGGTGCTCTGTCCCAGGGAGGTGGGGTTTTATCTATAATTCCCTGACTGGGGCTGCTGCCTTTTTTTCAGAGATGCCCTGCCCAGAGAGGAGACAGGCCGCAGCAGCCTTGTTGGGCTCAGTGTCGTCTATTTTACAACGAAGTGCCATTACAATTTACTGAGGAAAGAATGACCTTTTCAATGAATGGTGATGGTGTAAGTGGTTCATATCCCCTACCTTGCACCATTCATGAAACGTTAATTCAAGATAGTTTTATCAACTAAGGTAATGTTTCCAGAAGAAAACAGAAAAATACCTCCCTGACTTTGGAGCAGTCAGGATGTCTAAGACACAGAAGCATTAGCCATTGATGAAAAATGACCTCATTGATGAAAAAAAGAGACTAATGAAATTGACCTCATTAAAATAAGAACCATTAGAAGCTACCAATAAGAGAGTAAAAATGTAAGGACTCTTACCCAGAATATATACAGAATTCCTACAAATTCAGTAACAAGACAAACAACCTAATAGAAAAAGAAGTTATCCAAATGGCCAGCAAGCACATGAAAAGGTGTTCAACATCATTAGCCATCAGGTAAATGCAAACAAAAATCACATGAAGAGATATCACTACAGATCTACCAAATGGCTAAAAGACTGGTAAAACCAAGTATTGGTGAGTATGTAGAACAAAAGACTCACGAATGTTGTAGGAAGGAGCATAAAATGGTACAACTTTGGCAAATAGGCTCTTTTAATGAGTTAAGCATGCACCTACTTTATAATCCAGCAATTCCACTGCTACGTGGAAAATGACTGTCCACAAAATGCCATGTATAAGAATAAGCATAGCACCCTTTATTCATATTAGATTAAGAACTACAGACAACCCAAATGTCCAACAACCACAAAACAGATAAATGTGGTATATTCATACAATGAAATACTATACACATATACACACACACAAACACAGAATTAACTACCGCTACAAATACAGAGGGATTATGATGAACATAACGCTGAATGAAAGGAGTCATACATAAAATATGACACTTATATGACCTTTAAGAATAGGCAAAACTAATCTATGGCGATTACAGACAGAATAGTGGGAGGTAGAGGGATGGGGAGATGGGTGGAGGGCTCATTGAGAAGGGCACAAAGGGCCGGGTGCGGTGGCTCAAGCCTGTAATCCCAGCACTTTGGGAGGCAATAGCCGGGCGAGGTGGCGGGCGCCTGTAGTCCCAGCTACTCAGGAGGCTGAGGCAGGAGAATGGCGTAAACCCGGGAGGCGGAGCTTGCAGTGAGCTGAGATCCGGCCACTGCACTCCAGCCTGGGCGACAGAGCGAGACTCCGTCTCAAAAAAAAAAAAAAAAAGAGAAGGGCACAAAGGAGCTTTCTAGGGTATCACGGGTGCATAAATATGTAAAACTTTTGAAGCTGTACACATAAGATTTGATCATTTTAGTGTTTGTATATTTTAGCTCAATGATAATAATGATAATAATAAACTTACATTCCCAACAACTCCATTTGCCTGCTTTTGTTTCTGTTGCTTTGACTGTGGTAACAGCACAGGTGTAGGTTTTTTTTTTAAAGGTTTCTTTTTTTTTGATTTAGCAGTTTTCTTGGGTCCTTTACTCTTCTGTTGCCATCCTCCTTTTGTCCTGTTCTTGTTAGTTTCCCCCTGCTGTAAATCATAACATGTCACACTTGTAAGTTATAGCAATAGATATTCAATTGAAGGTTACAGTAATTTTTAGGTGGAAATGGCTAAACTGAGTTACTCTCCCAGAGCAATATAAGTCAACTGGAGAAGTAAATAAAATACTTCTTTCACTAGGAAAGATAGGTTCGGAAACCCAAGTTTTTACCCCATCTTCTGCTGGCTGTTCCTCTGCAGCACAGATGGACTGCTCCTTTTCAAATACTTCCTAAGGGGTAGCAAAAAGAGAAATACAAAATCTGTCAACCTATATTTATCTTTCAGACAAAGCAATCTTTCAAACTGTATTTTTAAAGTATTTTTAACTGGCTACAATTGAGGAAGAAGGAGGAGACATTTAGCAATTACTAGCTGATGACTGTGTGCATATGCAAGTAGATACCTTGTATCTCACATCTGTCTTGAACAAGTTTTGAAAGTACAGTCTACTCAAGTTTACAAATGGAGTAAGGATACATACAGTAAAAATATTTAAAATTTCACTTTTATTCTGCCGGCACGGTGGCTCAAGCCTGTAATCCCAGCACTTTGGGAGGCTGAGACGGACGGATCACAAGGTCAGGAGATCGAGACCATCCTTGCTAACACTGTGAAACCCCGTCTCTACTAAAAAATACAAAAAACTAGCCGGGCGAGGTGGCGAGTGTCTGTAGTCCCAGCTATAGGGAGGCTGAGGCAGGAGAATGGTGTAAACCTGGGAGGCGGAGCTTGCAGCGAGCTGAGATCTGGCCACTGCACTCCAGCCTGGGCGACAGAGCAAGACTCCGTCTCAAAAAAAACAAAAATAAAAACAAACAAACAAAAAAAAATATTTAAAATTTCACTTTTATTCTAATAGCAAGCAAACATGAGTATTTTAATGTTATGAGTAAACTATTTTCTGCATTAAAACCTTGACAATAAGTCAGTGTGATGTGCAAAATAACAACAACAACAACAAAAAACCCTTGAGACTAGTATTAGTTTATTCACTATTGTCAGTGATACTACTTAATGGACCTGAGACCTAAGACTAAGAACTGAATCATCACAGGTGGGGCACGGTGGCTCATGACTATAATCTCAGCACTTTGGGAGGCTGAGGCAAGAGGATTGCTTGAGCCCAGAAGTTTGAGACTAACATGGGCAACATAGTGAGACTCCACATCTATTAAAAAAAAAATCACCAAGAAAATCTACATATCCTGAAGCTATATCCACCAACCATACAATCCATTTAGAATCAGTACAGAACCGACAAATTTAGGATTTAAATCCCAGTAAGCATCTATACTAGATGACATACAGACTGTGTTTAATAAACTCCCTAGAATTATTAAAGCTAACAAGTAAAAGCAGTTATAATTGTTAGGCTCTATACAATAAAGAGAGCCTAATTCAGAAGTCAACTCTGAACAGTCCATACCACTTGCCCTTTTTCTTTTTTCTTTTTATTTTAAAAAGACAGTGGTCTTGTTATGTTGCACAGGCTGGTCTCGAACTCCTGAGCTAAAGGATCCTCCCACCTTCCCACCTCAGCCTCCCAAGTAGCTGTGCCACTGTGCCTGCCCTGCCACCTGCTTTTTAAAACAAAGCTTTACTAGAACATGACCACACCCATTTATAAGTTCAGTAGTTGCTACAAACACTGTATCACTTATAAAACCTAAGATACCTACTATCTGGACCTTTAAAGAAAAAGGTTGCCACTCCCTAGTCTAATTCTGTCATAACTTCCTCCTTTCACTTATTAGCTGGGTTCTGCTACTTGATTACTCCAAGGGACAGTTCATACAAGAATGGGAAGATAAAAACAATTCTTTTCTTTACTCCAGGGCAGTTCCATTCTTTTTTCTACCAATCACTCCAGAAACGTTAATAGTTCAAGAACAAATTTTTGCTCATTTTTCAGGCTGGGAAGTCCAAAGGATATGGGTAGTCTAGATTCGGATTCTAAACCCAATTTTAGCATTGGTTTCGGTTCCTCTTCTCCCAGGAGGCACCTCTCTCACCCAGAGTCCATGACAAATGCTTCCTTATCACTTGCTATAATAAAACCAACATCTTGGATTCAATATATCCTACTACAAAATATGATTTTCAAGCCGGGCTTGGTGGCTTACGCCTGTAATCCCAGCACTTTGGGAGGCTGAAATGGTAGGATCACTTGAGGTCAGGAGCTCAAGACCAACCTGGCCAACACAGTGAGACCCCCATCTCTATAAGAAAAAAATATATATGTTTTTCCTACCAGCAATTTTAGGCACGGGATATAAATGTGGCATATATTTCTTGCAGATGCTCAAAAACCTCAGGGCAAAAGGCTAAAATCTACCACTAGTTGAATAAATTGAGTAAAAATACTTCAGTCTCTACCAGTTGACTCAGGAGAAAATATAAATAAAAGAAACTGAGAGCCAAGCATGCTGGCTCATGCCTGTAATCCCAGCACTTTGAGAGGCCAAGGCAGGAGGATCCTTTGAGCCCAGGAGTTTGAGACCAGCTAGGCAACCTACAGAGACCCGCATCTCTATTTAAAAATACATATACATATTAGGCCAGGCATGGTGGCTCATGCCTAAATCCCAGCACTTTCGGAGGCTGAGGCAAACATATCACTTGAGGACAGGAGTTCGAGACCTGCCTGGGCAACATGGAGAAACCCCATTTCTACTAAAAATACAAAAAATTAGCTGGGCATGGTGGTGCACACCTGTGGTCCCAGCTACTCAGGAGGTTGAGGTGGGAGAATCATTTGAGCCTAGGAGGTGGACGTTGCAGTGAGCCAAGATTGCACCACTGCACTCAAGACTGGGTAACACAGTGAGACCGTGTCTCAATAAAAAATAAAATAGGCCAGGTGCAGTTGCTCACGCCTGCAACCCCAGCATGTTGGGAGGCCAAGGTGGGTGGATCACTTGAGGTCAGGATTTCAGGACCAGCCTGACCAACATGGTGAAACGCCATCTCTACTAAAAATACAAAAATTAGCCAGGCGTGGTGGCATGTGCCTGTAATTCCAGCTACTAGGGAGAGGCTGAGGCAGAAGAATCACTTGAACCCGGGAGGCAGAGGTTGCAGTGAGCCGAGATTGCACCACTGCATTCCAGCCCGGGTGAGAGCTAGACTCCATCTCAAAAAAGAAGATGAAGGAAATATATGCAAAATGATTGCACCAGATTTAACAAAAAAGCATGAGACAAGTATCAATCTACATTTAAGTGCCTATATGTACGTATGCACTATAAAGATCCAGATGGTAAATATGAGCATGGAGAAAGATAGGAGAAGATACAAAACAACAAGATTATGCATTCTGGTCATTTGAGGCTGACAAGGGGTTTTCCTAAAGAAAATGAGAGATGGGCTGGGCACGGTAGCTCCTGTAATCCCAGAACTTTGGGGGGCTGAGGCAGGTGTATCACCTGAGTTCAGGAGTTCAAGACCAGCCTGGTCAACATGGTGAAACCCCATCTCTACTAAAAACACAAAAATTAACCAGGTGTGGTGGTGCGTGCCTGTAATCCCAGCTACTCAGGAGGCTGAGGCAGGAGAATCACTTGAACTCAAGAGATGTAGGTTGCAGTGAGCCAAGATCATGCCATTGCACTCCAGCCTGGGCAACAAGAATGAAACTCCATTAAAAAAAAAAAAAAAAAGGGAAAGGGAGGAGAGAGGGAGGAGGGAGGGGGAAGGAAGGAAGGAAGGAAGGAAGGAAGAGGAAGGAGGAAGAAGGAAGGAGGAGAAATAAATGGGAGAGAGGAAGGGATCCAGACAAAACATCATTTTAGCTCTACGGTATACATGCACTAGGCTAATTACAGTGATGAGCGCTCAAAATGAATCATCTCGACAGTGGTGGGATTTTTCGGGTAAATTTTTAATTCTTCCTATACTTCTCTGCATTGCCTAAATTTTTCCAGACAAACATAAATGTTTCACATTATCAGGAAAAAAAAGTTATTTTTATTGTAATTCTTAAATTTTGAAATGAAAATAAAGAGTCGGCTGGGCGCGTTTGCGGTCAAGCCTGTAATCCCAGCACTTTGGGAGGCTGAAATGGGCGGATCACAAGGTCAGGAGATGGAGACCATCTGGGCTAACACGGTGGAAACCCCGTCTCTACTAAAAAAAAAAATACAAAAAAAACTAGCCGGGCGAGGGTGGCGGGCACCTGTAGTCCCAGCTACTGGGGAGGCTGAAGCAGGAGAATGGCATAAACCCGGGATGCGGAACTTGCAGTGAGCTGAGATCCGGCCACTGCACTCCAGCCTGGGTGACAGAGTGAGACTCCGTCTCAAAAAAAAAAAATAAATAAATAAATAAATAAAAGAGTCAATTCTCTATAGAACTCACTAAAAAGAAATGTGATGAAATTCTCATCAGTAACAACTTCTGCATAGCACTTCACAGCTTAAGAACTATATCCACATTACTTTGCTATGATTATGTTTTATAGAGAATTAAACTATCACACAAAGGACTATTTTCCAGGTTTTTTTAGTGTATGTGAAAACTGTTTCATGAAAATTAATTGAAAATTTCAAAAGAGTTAATAGAATTTGCAAAATTAGATCTTGGTATTACAACAGTTTTGACTTTGAGAATGACGGAAATAAATATAAAAGCCTTGACACACAACTCTTAAAGCATAAAAATACAGATAGACTACTTACAGCCATTGTTTGCCTTGTCAACTTAACCAACACTGTAACTAAGGATCCTACTGTGATGTTGTTGCTATCTTCATCATCTAACACTGTTAAGATGGAAGAAAAAAAAAAACAGCAAAAAATAAAAATCAAGTTCTATGTCAATGCAAACAGCAAAACCTGGCTTACCTAAATTAGTTTGGCACTTCAGTATTTCAAGCATATTGTATTAAATTTGTTAAAAAAAAAAAAAAAAACTGATTGACTACTCTGTATAAGGCTCTCCAGTAGATGCTTTTAATAATTCATTTAATCTCTAAAATAGCTCTACAAAGTATAGAAACTACTTAGAAACTTTTAGAAACTAAAGTTTAGCTAGGCGTGGTATCTCATGCCTGTAATCCCATCACTTTGGGAGGCCAAGGCAGGCGGATGGCGTGGGCTCAGGAATTCGAGATCAGTGGGACAACATGACAAAACCCTGTCTCTACAAAAAATACAAAAGTTAGCCAGGCGTGATGGTGCAAGCCTGTAGTCTCAGCTACTCGGGAGGCTGAGGTGGAGGACAGCTTGAGCCTGGGAGGCAGAGGTTGCAGTGAGCCAAGACAGCGCCACTGCACTTCAGAGCAACAGAGTGAGACCCCGGCTCAAAAAAAAAAAAAAAGAAAGAAACCGAGGTTCGGAAATATTTAAGTAAAATACCCAAACCCAAACCCACACAACACCTGCATTCGCACGCTAAGCTTCAAACCCAGGTTTTTGAAAACACAGTATAATGTGAGACTTACCATAACACAGTTCTCTCATAGTGACATAAAAATAGGCTTCTGTCACCCTATTAAACTGTGCAAACCTTACATTCACAAGATTTTACCTGTATGATCAATGTCTGTCTGAATAAAATAATGAAAACTAGTATTCCTAACCACACAAAAGAGACATTTTTTTAAAGGCAGGAACAAATATATCCTCTTTACACTAAAAAGCACTTTTGAGGCCGGGCGCGGTGGCTCAAGCCTGTAATCCCAGCACTTTGGGAGGCCGAGATGGGCGGATCACGAGGTCAGGAGATCGAGACCATCCTGGCGAACACGGTGAAACCCCGTCTCTACTAAAAAATACAAAAAAAAAAAATGGCGGGCGCCTGTAGTCCCAGCTACTTAGGAGGCTGAGGCAGGAGAATGGCGTAAACCCAGGAGGCGGAGCTTGCAGTGAGCTGAGATCCGGCCACTGCACTCCAGCAAAAAAAAAAAAAAAAAAAGCACTTTTGAAAAAGTATTTTTTCAATAAATGGTACTAAATACATGTTTTTGCAATTAATTTTTAAAACCACATTTCCCACACATATCCCCAAAAACTCTACTATAAAGTTAATAAAACAAAATAAATAAAAATAACTCAAATATACCTTCCATTCAAATGTATCCTTAATTTATTTTTTCTACAGATTTTATCTGTAAGATAGTTCTTCTTATATATTTTTACCTACAATTTTAAGTTTGTTACGTTTGCTTTTCATACTGGTCTGGCATTTACTAACATACCATCAGTTGAAAAGAATGACCTCCAATAATATACAATTGCTATCTCCATTACTGGCTATAAGGTGCAGCAGCTGGGTATCAACAAAGGGTATAATATCCCTTCTTCACCCTGGAAGTCTCTGACCTGCTGCTTGGTGCTTTAAAGTGAAGAAATTAGTTTGACACTTCAGTATTTCAAGCATATTGTATTTTAAATTTGTTAAAAAAAAAAACAAAACTGATTGACTACTCTATAAGGCTCTCCAGTAGATGCTTTTAATAATTCATTTAATCTCTAAAATAGCTCTACAAAGTATAGAAACTACTTAGAAACTCTTAGAAACTAAAGTTTAGCTAGGCGTGGTGTCTCATGCCTGTAATCCCATCACTTTGGGAGGCCAAGGCAGGCGGATGGCGTGGGCTCAGGAATTCGAGATCAGTGGGACAACATGTCCCACTGAATGCTGACCTGCTGTTTGGTGCTTTAAAGTGAAGAAAAGGACTACAACAGATTCTATTACAGATTCTTGCAAGGTAGGGAAGGAGATCCACCATCTCCAGTATTACTATCAGGCAGATGCCCCTTTCCTGCTTCTATACTTCTTCTACTCCTCCTTCATCAACTATAGCACTATTATTAGATAATTAGGCAGCACTGTAAAAATATAAATAAACTGTCTATACAAGATGCTATGGAGTGGAACATATGGTAATATTTGTCGGTGAGGCTAAACACTCTTACATTTCTACTTCCTATAAGAAAATCTCTTCTAATACTCATTTTTCTAAGAAGCATGTACTTTTGGCCAGGCATGGTGGCTCACACCCATAATCCCAGCATTCTGGGAGGCTAAGGTGGGTGAATCACCTGAGGTTGGGAGTTTGAGACCAGCCTGGCCAACATGGTGAAACTCCACCTCTACTAAAAATACAAAAATTAGCTGGGCATGGTGGCACATGCCTGTAATCCCAGCTACTCGGGAGGCTGAGGCAGGAGAATCACTTGAACCTAGAGGTGGAGATTGCAGTAAGCCAAGATAGTGTCACTGCACTTCGGCCTGGGCAACAGAGCGAGACTGTCTCAAAAAAAAAAAGAAAGAAAGAAAGAAAAGGGTGTATTTTAACAGTTCTTAATATCAAAAAGTATCTCTGTAAGTACCAAAACTTTTATTTGGACGGTTTCATTAAATCAGCACAGTCCTAAATACAGCTTTTACATTAGTATTTTTAAAGTCTGAAAACTCATGGCCCCACAAGGCAACCCCAACTCCTCACCAAAGCAAACCAAGTTTTCTTTTTTTTTTTTTTTTGAGACCAAGTCTCACTCTGTAGCCCAGGCTGGAGTGCAGTGGCCGGATCTCAGCTCACTGCAAGCTCCACCTCCCGGGTTTGCACCATTCTCCTGCCTCAGCCTCCCTATAGCTGGGACTACAGGCGCCCGCCAGCTCGCCCGGCTAGTTTTTTGTATTTTTTAGTAGAGACGGGGTTTCACTGTGTTAGCCAGGATGGTCTCGATCTCCTGACCTCGTGATCCGCCCGTCTCGGCCTCCCAAAGTGCTGGGATTACAGGTTTGAGCCACCGCGCCCAGCCAACAAACCAAGTTTTCATAACACGTATGCTACACTCCAGTCAAACTGAAACCAAACTGCACTGACTGCCTTCCTTTACCAAACATGCCAATCTTTGGGAGCCATTTACCTTTCCTCAATTCCTATTAGAATACAAGCTCAATAAGGAGAGGCTTTGTCTTACCACAGCTTCCCCAGGACCTAGAAGAATGCACAGCATTCAATATTTGCTGTATAAATAAATGGTACAACGTCTGTGTCATTCATTTTAACACTTAGCATATGTTATCTTGGTTTGTGTGTGTGTGTTTTAAATTTTATAAAAACAGGGTCTCCCTATGTTGCCCAGGCTGGTCTCAAACTCCTGGGCTCAAGTGATCCCCCTGCCTTGGCCTCCCAAAGTGTTGGGATTAAAGGCGTGACACCACTGGGCCCAGCCCTTACCTTGTTTTTAATCCTGTTGCTTCAACTGGACAATAAGCTCTCTTTAAAGACACAAACCAGGCACGGTGGCTCCCACCTATAATCACAGCACTGTGGGAGGCCAAGGCAGGTGGATCAGTTGAGCCCAGAAGCTCGAGACCAGCCTGCACAACATGGTGAAACCCTGTCTCTACTAAAAACACAAAAAATAAAATTAGCCAGGTATGGTAGTGTGCACCTGTAGTCCCAGCTACTCAGGAGGCTGAGGTAGGAGGACTGCTTGAGCCTGGGAGGCAGAGGATGCAGTGAGCCAAAATCGCACCACTGCACTCCAGCCTGGACGACAGAGTGAGACCCTATCTCAAAAATTATTTATAAATAACTAAATAAAATAAAGACAGAAACCATTATTAATACATCCCTGTATTCTTGGTAACTAAAAGAATGTTCTCATAATGGTAACTTAGCGAATGTTAAAGCTCAGACCACCACCACAATGGAAGAATGGAGCAGATAGTCTCTAATTCTCTCAGTATTCTAAGACCATTCAGATATTGAAACAGAAACACAGGGCAATTATATAGGTAGAAAAATAGCCTTTATTTTTTTTTCCCTCAAAGAAAATATAGAGGTAGGGTAAGAAAAACACATGAAATGTGGCGTAAAACATAGTAATTTTCAACATTTAATTAACATAAACAAGTTGGGTTTTAAAAATTTAATTTTACAACTAAGCAGCTATTTCTTTCATACTAATAATATATTTCAAATATCTCATTCTTTTATCATGCCTGGAAGTCTTCACCATTCTTTGGAAAGTTAAGAAATTGCTAAAAGTTGAACTACAGAACAGAGTTCTCAGGCTTCATCCCATTATGAGGATAATAAAAGTAGGACTCCATCAGTGTTCTCAAACTATTAGGTATAAATCATTTTCCAACACACAAAATCTGACAGGTTCTGCAAAGTCTAATAACAAGTTCTGTTATTAAGTACAGTGTTTTGAGAATCCTGAGTCAAATAAATGAGAACCAATCTATCAAAAGGGAAGCAATGTTCAACAGAGAAACCTCCCACTTACCCTGTGATTTTATATCCATGGTCACATATGGAAAACTCCCAAGGACAGCCATAACCTCTTCATATTTTTCATCTTCAAGGAAGTGCAGTAGAGTGTGACGATCTGATTCTTTTAAACTCACCAAATCCTGGATAGTTTTAATTTTATACTGAATAAAAAAAAAAAGAAAATACATAATTCCCTAACTCACAAAGCTTTTCATAAAAAGAAAATTACTCACACCTTAACTACAACAAAATCCAGCAACTTTTAGAAAAATGTTGATTAATGTGCATTTCAAAGCACAAAATAACCACATGGCATTTCATGACCTTTTTCTCCAAGAAAATTTGAATTAAAAATTTTTTAATTATAAAGTTAATACAGGCTTATTTTTTAAAATTAGAAAAAATAAAGTTGGAGGGGAAAAAAATAAGAATCTTGACTCAACCAAAAACTTTGTCAACTGATGTCCTCAGTTAATTTTCAATTTTAACAACAAAAACCTTTAATTGCAATTAATAGGTTTACTATTACCAAACCTGTACTAATAAACCTTTACTTTTACCTAACAAAAGTAAAAATAAACCTCAATAAAGGCGCACCTTCAAGGTTTTACTACACAATATTCTCATTTTTGTTATTCTTAAAATATAGCTGTTACTGTAGTAATACCCATCTTGGCAAAATGGTTACTTAGGAGCATGTTCTTTAATTTTCCAGGTCTTTAGTGCTAGTTATTTTTCACTTTCAAAGACACAGATTAGATCATGAGGCATGTAAAATCTCTGCTTTTAGATTCTGAAGTGTTTAATTATGACTTAGCATATAATCAAATTTATAAGGGGAACATGAGTACTTGAAAGGACAGAGAACTCTGATATAAATTTCCAACATGCATTTATTAATTCTACATTAATATACTATCAAATCCAATGTCTATTGCTCATTTATCTATTATATACAAAATAATGTTTAAAATCTCCTACTAGAATTGAACTTCAGTTTCTTGTATTTCCTCATTTATACAAATTTTTGTTATACCTTAAGATTCATTATCATGTTTGTACTATAGATTACACATTCTAAATAAGAACGGTCTTTATTTAATTTATTAAATGTTTTTGTTGTTCATACTTAACCAGTAAACAACTGCCCAACGTTTAAGCCAAGAATAAAATGATTGGAAAGTAGACAGTACATTTATTTTTGGTAACATAATATAAGGACCTAACTGTTGACTGTTTAAATGCACCAACCCCCAAAATAGTAAAGCCACTTACAATAGTAAAGTACTATAAAACAGCTACCTAGTCATGAAAATGTTAACAGAACCACCTGAAAGTTTTAGAATATTTAAGACATTCTAAATCTAAAAAATGCACAGTAACTATTTCCAGAAAACTTTTATTCATGTTACCTTTAAGTGACAGGACAGGACAAACTGCTCAAAACTGACTTTAAAGTAGCAAAGAATTACCTTCTTATGATTAGAAACCCGTCTAAGATTGTCCTCTTCAATATGAGGGAGCTGCAGAAGGGGAGACTTAAATTGCTGAAGTCCCTGAACAGCCATCTGAGAAAGCTTCATGCAGTTTTCTAGGGATGCCAAAGTTGGAGCACGAAACTCCCTTTCTTAGAAAGAATAGGAAAAAAAGAAACAGGGCTGGACTTTTTACATGTTCAGGAGTATACAATTCATTACAAAAAACACAATTCACACTAAATCCTTAACATCTCAAATTTGAAGATCATAATGAAGATTTTCCTTTAAAAGTTACCAGAGAAGATGCTAAAATTACACAAACTTGATCAAATGAACATTTTCCAGCAACAACCATTGATTTTTAAAAGAAAAATTATTTGCTTCACCTCAAATAATAGTAAATTATCGGACATTGTCAGTATCACCAACATATGACACCATGACAAGAACCAACATCGCCCGTAACAACAAACCATACCACTATCCTTTTTTAAGGGTATTCCTTTCCATTGCGACCACCAATTTCTCATTCTTTCCTTCTATACCAAAAAAAAACAAAAGATGCTAGAGCCGTAAGGCCATGTGGCCTCATGACTATTAATTGCCGGCGGGCCTTTGGAGCTGAAGTGGGAGGATTGCTTAACGGCCAGCAGTTGGAAACCAGGGGACCAGTCGGGCAACAAATGAGATCCACCTCATACAAAAATTAAAGTTAGTCTGTGTGTGGGTATGCGCCTGTTAGGTTCTACTACTCAGGGGCTAAGGTAGAAGGACTCTTTGAGCCCAGGAGTTTGAGGCTTGCAGTGGAGCTAGTTTTACTTAGGATCCCAGCCTGGTAGATGCCGTCTTAATTAATTATTATAAAATTACTAAACATCATATCATTAATATTAACTATTTTTTCAAATTCATTTAGAAAAATAATGACTAACTCAAAATTATTCATGAAAAAGGAATTTAAATTTGCAAACAATTGAACAATAATACATTAAATTATCATGCCTGTATCCCAGCATTTGGAGGGCTGAGGCGGGTTTTCAAGGGTCAGGGTCAATACAGCCTGACCAACAATGAAGGAACCTCCATCTGTTATTAAATACAAAATCGCAGCGTGGTTGGCACGGCGCCTGTAATCCAGCTATCAGGGAGGCTGAAGCAGTGAGAATCGCTTGGGAGACCCGGGGAGGGCAGAGGTTGACTGGGAACAAGGATTTTGTCCTGCCACTCTAGGCTGGGTGACAAGGCAAGGATCATCTCAACATCAACAACAACAACTAAACCACTACTAGTGGGCTTGTGATATAGGACTTTAATACAGAAATATAGAAAAAATTAAGCCAATGGAGTAATGAAAAAAGTCACTGAACTGGGCAGACAGTAATTATTCTGATAGCCCATAATCCTAAATATGAAGTTTAATCTGGCATATGTGCATAAAAAGTAATAACAGTTACTATATCCTCTCACCTTCACTGGTTTCCGGTGTGCTTACTTCAGTTGCCATGTTAATTAACCGTTTCTTGAAGTAGCATGATCCTTTTTGCATTATGATTGGCTGATCTGCAAAGATAAAACCTGAACAGTCTTTTAATTTTACAGTTAAAGCATTTCTTTACCACTGTGGACCTTAACACTAATTTAATGTTATGGCCAAATATTCACATGATCTTCAGAATTTTACAGATGAATGGGAATGAGTTTCTCCTCGAGTTTCACTAGTCAAAATTCAGCCATAACCTAGGCTCGTTAGACATTTTCAAAAGACAATTTTTAATAACATAACCATTAGGCTTATAAACCACACCTCCCAGCCGGGCTGGTGGGTGTGACGCCTTATAATCCCGGCCTTTGGATGGCCGAGGGGCGCGGTAAACCTAAATATGTCCAAATTAAATATGTCCAACTAAATAAGTGGGAGAGATGAGGAACAGAGGAAGAAGAGGGCACTTAGAGGAAGAAGGAGGATTCTTTATTATACTGCATTATAAACAGTAATTATTAGGACACATTTAACCCTTGGGATTGTACTCAACCTACAATTGGTTTCCTGCTTCTTAGGTAAGTAAAATATGAGATGCTATGGCATACCTGTCCATCAACATACTTACATAAGTATCACATGCCTTGTTTTCAGAAGCATTTAATTGCCATTACTGCCTTAAAAGGAGGTGGTGGGATGGTTAGGATATCTTCAAAAAGAACATATTTTTCTAGAGGATATATAACTGTCTTTCACAACACTGTAATTTCAACTAATTGTTGGTGAAAGAGTATATTAATGACATCCCTGGAAAACACTGTTGCCTCATCAATATTTTCTTTTAAGCAAGAATACATTGGGCTTCAAATGTACCTTATTGAGCTTTAAATACCATCAAAACAGAATTATTGGTAACCATGGTTGGGAAGGCTTGCAGATGCTGAGGTGAGAGGTGTTGGTTGTTGTGAAATCCATTTTGCTCCCTCCAAAAACTTACAGAGTCGTTTAAAAAAAAATCATTAGGAACTTTTGTATGATCTGCAACTAACTAAACATTTCTCATACAGAGCATTCTCTCACCTTGAAACACTAAATTTTAACACCTGCCAAAATATGACTTACTTAGATCTTCAAATCATTTGTGAAGTAATTATGTAGCATATACATTTCTTTTTTAAAAAGTCCTTAAGCAATTTTTTGCCCAAAAAAGAACAGCAACAAAAAACATTGCACCACCATGCTATGGTTTGGGTCTGTGTCCCCACCCAAATCTCATGTTGAATGGTAATCCCCAATGCTGGAGGTGGGGCCTGGTGGGAGGTGATTGGATTGGGGGGCGGAGTTCTCCCTTTGGTGCTGTTCTCAAGATCAGTTCTCACAAGACCTGGTTGTTTAAAAATGTGTGCCACCTCCCCCAACTCTCTCTTCCTCCTGCTCTGGCCGTGTGAAGACCTCTGCCTCTGCCTGTGCCTGCTCTGGCTTTGCCTTCTGCCATGAATAAAAGTTCCCTGAGGCCTCCCCAGCCAAGCTTCCTGTACAGCCTGCAGAACAATGAGCTTCCTGTACAGTCTGCAGAACAATGAGTCAATTAAACCTCTTTTGTTTATATATTACCCAGTCTCAGGTATTTCTTTAGAGCAATGGAGTACAAACTAATACACACCATTAAGTCTAATTAAATCTGCTGCTTTCACCCCACTAAAACTGTAGATACCAGAATCACAAATACCTTCTTCAAGGGTCTCAGGAATTTTCATTCTAGCAAGATGAGACAGTAAAAGAACTCTGGCCTTCAGGCTGTATGGGCAGGTAAGTGGAGGCTCATTCTTCTTTAAATTAATGCTGCCAATTTCTCTGATTAGCTAGAATACATAAAATAATTATTCAAAAACACAGTTGTTTTTTTTGTAAAGTATTCACTTTAATATTTAACTGCTCATCGGGGGATTTGGGAAATTAGCCTAACCTGTGGTATTAGAATATTATCCGTTGGTCTGCTTGTGGCATCTTTATTATACTGAGGATCAAATTCAGAAGCTCCAGCCAAAACCATGATAAGACCTAAGAAAACAAAATATGAAGGTAAATAAATATGCTCATTTATTAATTCCCCCTCCTGAGATACTTAATTCACTTGAAAATGAAGCACTTTTCTAAACATGCACAATGCTAAAAATTATCTGAACTCCACTGACAAGTATTCATTCCTTCCATAAAAAAAGTAACATCTCCCTTTTTAAAATGTACACAGTATCAACCACCACAAGTGAACACAAGTATAGATCAAATAAAGCACACCAAAGCAACCAGAGGCATTAAAATCACTGAAAGTTCCCCAGAAACTTTCTATAGAACATTAGTATTCTGTGTGGTATTAATAACTTACAAGAAAAAAGGGGGCCCTATGGTTAAATAAAGCTGAAAATAATGTAAACAAGTTAAAGGTTTCTTTACTACATGACTTCTCAAGGCCTTGTGTAAACTAAGATGCACTGTCATTTTCCAAAAAATTGTATTATGGAACCCGAGAGGACTTTGTGGAAATACACATGATTAAAACCCACAGGTCGGTGGTGGCTCACGCCTACACGCCTCCCAGCACTTTGGGAGGCCGAGGCAGGAGAATCACGAGGTCAGGAATTGGAGACCAGCCAGTTCGAGACCAAGCTGGCCAACATGGTGAAACCCCATCTCTACTAAAAATACAAAACTTAGCCAGGCAATAGTGGTGCACGCCTGTAATCCCAGCTACTTGGGAGGCTGAGGCAGGAGAAATCACTTGCACCTAGCAGGCGGATGTTGTGGTGAGCTCAGATTGCGCCACCGTACTCCAGCCTGGAAGACGAGAGAAACTTTGTCTCGGAGAAAAAAAAAAATTCATGTAATGTACTCACAAAATGCAGGATAGTATAGAAGTTAAGTGCACAGACCTTGGTATTTTGTTACTTCCTAGCTAAATGACCTAGGATAATATTCTTCATATCTGTGTATCTCAGCTTCTTCATATGTGCCTGACACACAGCAAGCACAGTACTTGTGTGAGCTACTACTATTACTACCCTCAAATGTTTACTTAATAAAAATTGTTCCTAAAACAGCTAAAATAACCTAGAATGTCTAAAGAAATCCACCAGCTAAACAATGCTTCCTGACAAAGCTGTGTAAGGATACCATCCTCAGAAAAGAAACAGAAATCAAAATGATTGAGGCAAAAAGCACACTTAAAATTATAAACATGAAACATTTTCATAAGGGAAGAAGTTTCTGTATTAACATTTCAATCCAGCTTTAGGAAGGGTAATATTTTCGGTAAGGCAAAGTAGTATTAACTCATTCAGAAATGTAAAATCTGTTCACACACAGTCATATATGATCGTAAGTCTTTCTCATTACTAATTAGTAAAATTGCCAAATCCAAAATACAGAAAAGTCCATTTTGGTCCCAGAAACACAATTTAAAACTTACATTCTTTTATCACTTTTTTTTAAGGAGGGATGGAGGAGCATCTCTGATTTTTGCAGAGCCATCATTCTGAAAGGCAACACTCTATCTCCCAGGGATAAACTACAATGTTTGCTTTATATAATCAAAAGAAAGTGAAAATTTTTTTCTTAAATTTTTAAATAAGAAATGGGAATGAAATATTCTAACAGTTTCCTTTCATACACCTAAGACTTTTTATTTTTACTACGATTAATACAATATGACATAATGGTTTAAGGCTCAAGAACCAGACTGCCTGGGTTCAATCCTGGATATCCCTTACTGTGTATCCCTGAGTGTGTTACTTTTCTGTGCTTCAGTTTCCTCATCTATAAGATGTACTTAAAAACAGAACTAACTTACGGGAGCACAGCAAAAATTAAATGAGTCAAGACATGTACAGCAACTAGCAGTGTCTGGCATACAACAAATAATAAATGTTAGCTAGTATTACAAAACTGCACGCATAAGGCTTCTGGTAAAATTTCTGATGAAATACATGAGCAAACGTGAACAATGGAAATATAAATTAATAAATGTGATAAAGGGTGCTGGCATTTTTCTCTAGCTTTAATTATATAAATTAACTATTTATAAAACTGTACAATGGAATCTCACTAGTACAGAGTTAAGGAATATATATATATCAACCCCACATAAGTGAGTCACAAAATAATGTGATTAATAGCAAAGTTACTTAAGTTTACTTACGTTTCATATCCATATTTCGGGTTTTATAAACAAAGTATGTATAAATCTGTGTTGTGCGTATTAGAATCTGGTCTCCACTATAGCGTATTGAGCGATACCACCAAGAGCCCTAAAACACAAATAAAATTGAGAAAGAAACTATAAAAACTATGATAGGCTGGGAGAGGTGGCTCATGCCTGTAATCCCAGCACTTTGGGAGGCTGAGGTGAGAGGACTGCTTGAGCCCAGGAATTTGAGACTAGCCTGGGCAACATAGTGAGACCCTGTCTCTACAAAAGAAAAAGAAAAATGCAAACATTAGCTGGGCACGGTGGCACATGCCTCTAGTCCCAGCTGCTCCGGAAGCTGAGGTGGGAAGATTGCTAGAGCCCAGGAGGTCAGGGCTGCAGTAGCCATGATCACACTACTGCACTCCATCCTAGGTGACAGAGGGAGACTCTTGTCTCAAAAGAAAAAAAAAAAAGCAAAACAAAATCCTTATGTTATGCAGAATATGTTTATGGTCAAATCTTCTAAATATTCATAAAACAACAAAAATACCTGAGTCTTAAAATAAGCACCTCTTTGTTGCTATTTCAAGTGATTTCTTTAGCAAATATTTATATTGTCTGACGCCTAAACACTAACCTAAGTCACTGCATATATATAATTAAAACATTTACCATTTTGGATAGAAATTCCTTAAAGACCAAAAAGGGATAAAACTACCCACTGCTATAAGCACCAAGCTGGTTCTTGACACAAAACATGTCTTCAATAAATACTTGATAAACAAATGTAGGCGTAATTTTACAAGTGACATGAAACTTTCATTCATATTACTCAATATGATTGGATTCTTGCAACAATCCTTTGAAGAAGGCAAAACAAACAACTTAATTAGTTTCACTATGTGACTAAAAGGAACTCCAGGATCAGAAACGACACAAGTAACAAAAGTAATAAATGGTAAAAATCAAATGGTATCTCCATATTATAGTATTATACAGCTGCTTTAAAAAATGAGGCTGTTCTATATGTTGCATCCTCAATATATTAAGCAAAAAAAACAGAATAATGCATACATACAGTAAAATCTCATTAAAGGTTAATTTTTAAATGAATGTGTGTACATGAATGCATAGAAAAATATTTCAAAGAGAAAACACCAAACTTGGCAATGATTCCTAAATAAACGAAGTTGAGGGTGGTAGTGCAGGAAGACTTTCATTTTAAACTTTAAATATATCTGTGTCAGCCAGGCATGGTGGTTCACACCTGTAAACCTAGTACTTTGGGAGGCCAAGGCAGGATAATCATTTGAGTCCAGGAGTTTAAGACCAGCCTGGACAACATGGCAAGACCCCATCTCTACAAAAAAAATCAAAAAATTAGTGGGACATGGCGGTACACACTTGTGGTCTTAGCTACTTGGGAGGCTGAGATGGGAGGATTTGCTTGAATTCAGGAGGTAGAGGCTGCAGAGAGCCATGTTTGCAGCACCTTACTACAGCAAGACCTTGTCTTAAAAATAAATAAATAAATAACAAAAATAAAATTATAATGGACAGTTTTCCCTGTATTTAAAATATATATACATAGATACACATATGTATGTATGTTATATATATACACATATACACATATGTATATGTATATGTATGTATATATGTATCTGTGTTAACTCAATTGTAACTTTTGTGATTTTTGTTTTTTTCTTTGAGACAGAGTCTCGCTCTGTCACCCAGGCTGGAGTGTAGCGGCACAATCTTCGCTCACTGCAACCTCTGCCTCCTGGGTTCCAACCAGCATGCCCGATTAATTTTGTATTTTTAGTAGAGACAGGATTTCACCATGTTGGTCTCAAACTCCTGCCCTAAACTGATCTGCTCGCCTTGGCTTCCCAATAGGCTGGGATTACAGGAGTGAGCCACCATGTCTGGTCAGTTGTGGGTAACTTTTGAATTGGGAGGATATACATATTATCATGCTCGAGTAATGTCATCTTTAGAAGACCTTTAATAGTATAGTTATATAATTTTTTTTTAAGTTGGGGTCTCACTCTGTGGCCCAGGCTGGAGTACAGTGGTGGGGTCATGGCTCACTGCAACCTCAAACACCTAGGCTCAAGTGATCCTCCCACCTCAGCTTCAGTGTTGGGATTACAGGTGTGAGCCGTCTCACCTAGCAAGATTCTTAAATTCAAGGATCAATATTCTAACATACATTAAAAATGTTATAGGGAGACTCCAAAACATGTCAATCTCCTTTCCAAATAAACATTAACTTAAAAAGCTACAACTTACCACCACAACTGGAAGGATAACCATAAATGCCAATCCATACACAAGTAAAACCTAGAATTGAAGACAAAAAGAATTATGGCCTTCATCAGGTAAATTAAAACAACATCCATGAATTTATTTTGAGGCTTACAATGGGGGAGCCACTATTAAAAGGATTCCTCATGTATTATCTTGTTTAATCCTTATTCTCAAACTCCAAGAGTAAGGTACCATTATTAACCTTCCTTTTGTAGGCAGAAAACCTGCAGTACACATCATTTATAAAACTAGTCCTAGGACACAGTTAGTAAATTGTACAGCCAGGATTTGAACTCAAGTAGTTCAGCTCTATAGCCTATGTTCATATCCACTATAATAAATTACCTTTTAATTTGTCATTTACTGACACAATACAGATAACACCAGTAAAACAGTTTTGTAAATTACATTTCTCTTCCAGTCAGGCAGGTACTTACATAGCCATAACCTCTCAGTAGTGTGCCCTGGGAACAAATGAGATAAGAAGTCCCTGGCCAAACGTTCCTTTAGCAAAATATCAAGAAGCCACTTCATAATGTTGACCAGCAATTTTTATCTACTGATTTTTCTCCTATTACTTGATCCTAAATCTGGTAGTAACTTCTTGCTTTTCAACTATTCCTACTAAGCAGAAGCATGATAAACAAGCTTAAGCAGCAACTGTATACTCCTCAAGGTAACCAATTTTAATCTGCCACAAAATAACTTAATAGTCATTTTCAAAACAAATCACAGACTGTGTGGATTTTGTTTTTATTGCCTCAAAGACAGCCTTTAAACAATTATTTTCAAGAAAGCTGAAGTAGGAATGTATCCCTGAGTAAGATAATTCCTGCCATTTTAGGGTTGCAGTACTATCACTGATTGAGACTGATATCCTACCTCCTCCTGAAATACCATACGGAATATATACAATTTAATTTATCATACATTAAAATTAGGCCTAGTGCTCACGGTTATAATCCCAACACGGTGGGAGGCCAAGACAGGCAAATCACTTGAGGTCAGGAGTTAGAGTTTGAGACCAGCCTGGCCAGCATGGCAAAACCCCATCTATACAAAAAATGCAAAAATTAGCCAGGTATGGTGGTGGGCACCTGTAATCCCAGCCAGTCAGGGGACTCCGGGAGGCGGAGGTTGCAGTGAGCTGAGATCCCACCACTGCTCTCCTGCCTGGGCAACAGAGCAAGACTCTGTCTCAAATGAATGAATAGCACACCAGTATTTTCTCTGTAATAGTTCTTCTTATATTACCAAGACAGATTGTACACAACAAAAATTTTGTCTAATACATTATAATGTATCTTATTTAAATGCACTCACCAGAATTGAATTTTTCTGGTCAACTATCCAAGCTGGCAGGGCAATTCCAAAGCTTGTGGCTGAAATAGAAAAAATACGAGTTTCTGAAGAATCTCTACTTTCAGTCTTAATAAATATATTAAATATATTTGGGATCTATAATATATCCCAAAACTCTCCCCCACAACACAAAAACAAACTTTGAGAAAGACGATCTTATTAGTAGGTCCCCATTACACGAAAGTTCAGGGATATAGTTTATATCTGAAACTTCAAATTTTTCAAGAAGGAAAACAAAACCCTGTGTAAGTACAAATTCCTTCTCTCAAGAAAATGTAAATTATTTTATATGTCCTGAGTTTACATAAACACTATGAACACATAAGAAAATATGAAGTCAGTAAAGAAAAATAGATTTTTTCCTCCAAATTTTTATCAACTAGTAATTGGAAATGATAGTGATTACTCTTCTCTCTGGATCAACTTAAATTATATCGTTCAAACTAGTCTTTAGAAAGAAAAATAAAGCAAAAATTAATGAGAGCTCAATTTATCTATGTTAAACTCCACGTGAGTATAAGTTTAGTAAGAAAATAATATTATTCCTTTAATCTGGTTTACATTTTTATAATATATATCATATCGCCAATATTTTAAAATTATCATTTACCATACCTTGAGGCCCATCTGGATTTCCAAATTCTTCCCAATTTTTCCGGGACTCTTCATCAGTTAAACTAGCATCAAAAGAACAAAGTTGCAAAATTAGAAAGCCACATCTGAAAAATAAGCACTCATGTAGACAAACTCCATTAGCCAACCAACTCATTTCTTAGAAGATACTGATTCCATGAATCAAAAACAGTCTCTCTGAAATCAGGAGAAAGGGAAAGGGAGGAGCAACAAATGCTGCATTAACAGAAAATGCTAACTACTGCATCTTGATACTAATTCCTGGTTGGCCCATGGTTCTCAAGCTTAGGCAGTTCAACCAGACCAAACTTTCAAGGCCACCACATTTTCCAAGAAGGCAGGGAGAACTGTAGGGAATTTTTTCCCCCTTATACTCTCACATATTTTCCAAAATTTCTTCAATGAGCATGTTTACACATTAATAATGATAAATACATATTTTTAAAAACATAAATTTAAATCATAATGGTAGCTTCCCTACAAAACAACAGCACCACATTCCGAAAGAAACAAATGACCACCACATGTAAAACTCCATTGCTGTGGGTAAGGTAATTTGCACTGTGCTAACATCATAATTTTCTCCTAAGCCAATTGCCAGAAAAACTAGGAAAATTTCTCCTAAACAGCAGCTTCCTAACCCAGGGAATGTGAAAGTTAAAGAGTAATTTTTAGATACCTAAAATTTAACCCCTGACTTTGACAATGGCTCAAGGTACTGAGTCAAGAGTAGTTTTATTCCAGTTCCCAGTGAAAATGTCAAAAGGCATTAAAATAAATTCCCAATTCCTTAGAAAATTTTACAATGTAGTTAAGGAATGTAAGGCAGAACCCCTCCCCGTCCCAACACACATGCTCAAAAATGACCAATAACATAATAAGGAAGGCATTCTTGGAGACCAATTGGTAAAAGATCTTGCATATGGTCAAATCTAATTTTAAGCATACTTCTGCTTCTCAAAACTTAAGAGTCAATGTAGTTTCTATTTAACAAAACTCCAATCTGAGATAGGCGATGCAGAAATACCTTTATAAAATAGCAAAAAGGACATTCATCAGTTTTCAATGACTTGAAAATATTTTTAAATTTATCAATTTAGTCATGTACACAAACAGGTGCCTTGATATCTTTAATCCTTATTTAATTGTAACTCCACTTACACTATTTGATTAAAGGCCACAGAAAAATACAGGGCCAATGAAGAGCATTACTAGACAGGTTGCAAGTTAGTAAGGAATAGTGTTAAGATTTTCTTTTCAAAATTGACAGATGTTTCTGAAAAAAATTGTCCTAGATTCCCTGTACAACTGTCCATCCAACTCAGAGTTTTAGCTATTGTTTCTTTCACTATTGTCTAATTGGATCCTTCTGCCCAAAATAATCATCTCTGTCCCCTTCTGCCTTTGTGATTATGGCAGCAAAACAAACTGCTCTGTCCTCTATACAATACTCCCAGATTTTGTCAAATAAAGCACAGCTCATATCAGAGACATTCTGATTTTGCAACCTACACGGACATAGGAGTTATGATTACATTAACTCACTCATTAAACTGACTTCTTTACACTAACTCACTCATTAAACTGACTTCTACAACTGCTGTGTGATGGAACCACGTTGAACGTTCAATCTAATAAAATAAGTCAGCAACTTAAAGTCAGTTTAAGAAGCAAATGACTTTTTGTTACTATTTCAGTATAATACCACTTCTAAGAGTTAAAATACTTAAAACTTGTGTAATTTTAGTATAATTCACATTTAACAAGCTTAAACAAGATTAATGATGCTAAGAGAATTTTTGAAAATTTAATGAGTGTAGTTTCCTAAACATGATTATAACCCTTAACTTTTTTGGGGTTAGAGGGAGGATGATTATAGATTCTCTTATGAATCTAAGGAAATCTATGACCCCTTTGCCCTGGGAAAAATGCACATTACAAAGACACATAAATTGTGTATATAATTTCAGGGACTCCAGATTACAAATCCTGATCTAGAGAATGCTTTCACTAAACTGTAAACAAGTGACCATGAGTTCGCTATGCATAGTTATTATAAGTTACATGCTCATCTGTAAAAACCATATGCTTTTATAAAAATTAACATATCTTTAAGGTGACAATGCTGCCCACTTGCTATAAAATAGCTTTAAAGACAGGTTTTACATCTGAGAGCAAAATCTCAATTCTATCTAGATAATGAACCAGAGAATTCAATGGCATAACTCCTAAAAAATAACCAGACTTTCTTTCAAGTTAGAATCTGATAAAAAAAAAAAAAAAAAAAAAATGAAATGGCCCAGCTGGTTTATTATAATAGGCAACTAAGGAGAGAGAAATGATCTCAAATAACCTACACAAGTTCTAAAAAACTTTGCACATCAAAGCCTATATAACTGCATTCCAAGGCTGCTAGAGTTATTCACGAGATAGGAACTTCAACTCAAGCACTTAGAACTTATAGTTAGTAAAATATATGCCTTTATCTAATTTAGTTATATTTATGCAAGTTACATAATCTCAAGGTTCGAGGTCCCATGATCATTTCACTTTTTCATTGGTGTGATACAAAGTCAACTATTTAAGATATTTTATACATAAAATATTCTATAGTTTAACCACAAAACTGAGTTAAAACTAAAGGCCTTATATTATTCTTGTGCATTTTTCAGAATAGTGACCACACATCACAGATTTCCACAAATCTGAGAACAAAATCATAAACTTGAAAATGTTAAAATACCTTAAGACTGGGGGGTAGGGTGGGGAGATTTCACCAAAGCACTAAAATTAAAGCTACTAATTAAATAATCTTGGCTATCTGACTTCCTCTGGAAATGTCTTTTTAAATTACCTGAAGACAGCAATCAAGGCATACCAATACTTGTGAAAAGAGAGTAAATGCTTGAAGGAGACACTAACTGAAAGACAGCAATCTCAAGGACAACTGCTATGCAGAAAATGTAATACACACTTCAGAAATCCTAATGGCACTGCTTTATGACAGAATCATACAGTAATCCATACAGATAAACAGCAAGCCACAAAACAAGGGGCGAGAAGGGACATAGTCAATATCCTCTAAGTACAAAAATAAGTAAGGTGATATCTCCCAAACTTCTGTCATTCACATGCCACTTTCACAATTTGCTATTATAACTTAGTATCCAATTACAAGTAAACTTCTTATTGCATTTTGCAGATAATCATGTGTGGTTTTTTGCCATTTGTGGCAACTCTGCATCAAGCAATTCTATCAGTGCCATTTTTCCAACAGCATGTGCTCACTTCATGTCCCTCTGTCACATTTTGGTAAGCCTCACAATATATCTAATGTTTTCACTATTATCTTATCTGTTATAGTGACATGTGATCTTTGACATTTCTATTGTCATTGCGGTGCTGGCACAAAAACTGCACCTGCAGAAGAAAAAGAACTTAATACACATGTTTTCCGAATGCTCCACTCACTGGCCATTCCCCCATTTCTCTCCCTCTCCTCATGCCTCCTTATTCCCTGAGACACAACAAGATTCAAATTGGGCAAATCACTAACCCTAAAATGGTCTCTAAATGTTGAAATGAAAAAAAGACTCACATGTCTCTCACTCTGAATCAAAAGCTAGAAATAACTAAGCTTAGTGAGGAAGGCATGTCAAAAGTCAAAACAAGCCAAAAGCTAGGCCTCTTGAGCCAAACAGTCAAGTTGTGAATTCAGAGCAACAGTGCTTAAAGGAACTTAAAAGTGAACACACAAATAAGAGGAATGTGAAACAGCCTTGTTGCTGATTTGAACAATGTTTCAGTGGTCTGGATAGAAGATTAAACTAGGCACAACATTCCCTTAAGCCAAAGCCTAATTCAAAGCAAGGCCTTAACGAAGGCTGAGAGAGGTGAGGGAGCTGCAGAAGCTAGCAGATGTTGGTTCACAAGATTTTCCAAAAGAAACCATCTCTACAACAGAAGTGCAAGGTGAAGTAGCAAGTGCTGATTTGGAAGCTGCCGCAAGTTATCCAGAAGATCTAGCTAAGATCACAATGAAGGTGGCTAAACAACAAATTTTCAATGTAGACGAAATAGCCTTATATTGGAAAAATAACGCCATTTAGGACTTTCATAGCTGGAGAGAAATAAATGCCTGACTTCAAAGCTTCAAAAGACAGGTTGACTCTCTTGGTAGAGGCTAATGCTACTGGTGACTTTAACTTGAAGCCAATGCTGATGTGCCATTCCAAAAGTCCTAGAGCTCTTAAGATCTATGCTAAATCTATTCTACCATGCTCTATAAATAGAACAACAAATCCTTGATGACAGTACATGTGTTGACAGCACGGATTACTGAATATTTTAAGCCCACTGTTGAGACCTGCTCAAAAAAACAAAACGATTCCTTTCAAAAGATTACTGCTCATTGACAATGCACCTGGTCACTCAAGAACTCTGATGGAGCTGTACAAGGATTTTAATGTTGTTTTCACACCTGCTAACACAACATTCATTCTGCAGCACACAGATCAAAAAGGAGGCCGAGATGGGCGGATCACGAGGTCAGGAGATCGAGACCATCCTGGCTAACACAGTGAAACCCCGTCTCTACTAAAAACACAAAAAAGAGCCAGGCCCATGTCCGGGCGGCGCACCTGAATCCCAGCTACTCAGCGAGCTGGCAGAGAATCGGCAATGAACCCGGGAGGCGGAGCTTGCAGTGGAGCGAAGAATCCGGGCCACTGCAAACTCCCTAACCGCACAGAAGCAAGACCCCGTCTCAACCAAAAAACACGTGATGACTTAAGTCTTAATAAGAAATCAATAACACGTGACTAAGCAATTCAGAGGCTTAGGTTGCACAACATCGCCTTGCAAGATCCAGGATTCAAGACCCAGCTGGCCAACATGAAAAACCTGCTCTCTACCTCGAAGAAATACAATAAATTGCCCCAGGCACAATGTGTATTCCTGCCAGTCCCTACTACCGGCAGCTAAGAGGAAGAAGACTGCCTTGAATCCAGGAGGCAGAATAACCCTGGCTCAAGATTGTGCCAGCTGCAAACTCATCCCTGGCAACAGAATGAAGACCCCACTCAAAAAACAACAACAACACAAAAAAAAACACAAACACTTTGTAAAAGCTAATAACTGCTACAAACAGATGATACCTCGGATGATTCTGGGTAAAAGTAAAGAAAACCTTCGGAAAAGGATCCACTATTCCCTAAATGCATTAAGGACATTTGTAGTCACCAGGAAGTCTAAATGTCCAAGCATCAAGAGGAGTCTTGCAGAAGTTCATTCTTCTTCTTTTTTTTTTTTTGATTATGGAGTCTCCACTCGCCCGCCCAAGGCTGAGTGCAATGGCACAATCTCAGCTCACCACAAACCCAGCCAACCTCCGGGTTCAAGAGAGTCCTCCTCCATTCGCCGCAAGTAGCGTGAAGATACAGGGTAGCCCCACTCCACCGGCCCCTAATTTGAATTTTTAGTAAGATGGGGGTCATCCATGGTGTCAGGCCTGGTCTCAAACTCCTGACCTCAGGTGATCCACCTGCCTCAGCCTCCCAAAGTGCTGGGATTACAGGCATGAGCCACCACACCCAGCCAGAAGTTGATTTCAACCTTCATGGATGACTTGGAACAGTTCAAGACTTCAGTACAGAAGTCACTACATATGTGCTAGAAATAGCAGGAGAACTAAAGAAGTGGAGCTTGAAGATGTGACTGAATTGCTGGAACCTCACAATCAAACTTGAACAGATGAGTTGCTTCTTATAGTTGAGCAAAGAAAGTAGCTTCTTAAGATGGTATCTATTCCTGATGAAGATGCTACGAACACTGTTGAAATGACAATAAAGGATTTAGAATATTACATAAACTTAAGTTGATAAAGCAGTGGCAGAATGTGAGAGGATTGACTCCAATTTTGAAAGAAGTTCTGGCCAGGCGCAGTGGTACACACCTGTAATCCCAGCACTTTGGGAGGCTGAGGTGGGTGGATCACGAGGTCAGGAGATTGAGACCACCCCAGCTAATACAGTGAAACCCCATCTCTACTAAAAATATAAAAAATTAGTCGGGCACGGTGCCAGGCGCCTGTAGTCCCAGCTACTCGGGAGGCTGAGGCAGAAGAATGGCGTGAACCCAGGAGGTGGAAGTTGTAGTGAGCCAAGATCATGCCACTGTACTCAAGCCTGGGCAACAGAGCAAGACTCCATTACACAAAAAAAGAAAGAAGTTCTGTGAATAAAATACTATCAAATAGCATCACATGCTAGAGAAATCTTTCATGAAAAGAATTTAACTAATGTAGTCAACTTCACTGTTGTCTTATTTTAAGAAATTGTCACAGCCAGCCCAACCTTCAGTAACCACTATCCTTATCAGTCAACAGCCATCAACATCAAGGCAAGACTCTCCAACAGCAAAAAGAAAGCAATTTGTCAAAGGCTCAGATTACTAGCATTTTTTAGCAATACGGTATTTTTAAATGAAGGTATGTACCTTGTTTTTTAAGACATAAGGCTACTGCACACTTAATAGACTATGGTATAGTAGAAACAACTTATATGCAGTAGGAAACAAAAAAATTTATGTGACTCACTTTATTGCAATATTTGCTTTATTGTAGGAGACTGGAACTGAACCTATAATATCTCCAAAGGATGCTTGTATTTACTTACATGTTTAAAACGAGTTTACAAAATTATACATCACTGAGTCCTCAAAAGACAGACAATCTCATATTTTACTCTTTCATTCAATATAAGAGCTGTGTGGGGATGTACTTATCAAGAGTCCTGAAGAACCTAGTTAAGTTTCATCTCCTGGAAGATTAATACCCAAGAGATCACTGCATCTAATTTTAACATACTCTATTCTGTTTCCCAAAAGTGTGCACAAATGTTCCTCAAACTTTATAAATACACAGACATATGTGTGTGCATATAATGTATATGTGAATATATGTATCTCACAATAACAATGCACCTTACCTAAGGTGTAAGACCAACAAGAAAAATTATTTGGAAGTTCTAAAAAGATTTGTGAAGAAAGTTTCTGGGCAGTAAAAAAGGAGACCTTAAAAATCCGTATCTCAACAAGTACAGTAGTTATTATCTAAGAATAACCTTGTGTGAAGAAATTCTAAGAAGAAAAAGATACCAAAAATGAAGTACTTAAAAGTCCAAATTAAACTTGTCTTTAAATAGTTTAAATGAGATAAGCTATACATTGTCAAAACAAGAGAAACAGAACAAGCCTGAAAAAAAAAAAAAACATAGAAATGATAACAAGATCTAAGTATACCCTCCTCTAATCAAGATGCTAATAAAACAGCTCAATTAACTTATCATTCACCATTTAATTTAATCAAGTTTACATGGCAAAAATTAAAGTTTAATTAAATTAAATTACCACGTTAGTGCTGCTGTGTAGTCCCCTAAATACCTGGTAGAATCAACATGAAGTAAGCACTTGGACAAAGTGTATGACAACTATTTTACTATTTTATTAAAACAGAAAACTATCCTTTTTCTTTTTTTTTTTTCTTTAGAGATAGGGTATTACTCTGTCATCGAAGCTGGGCTGCAGTGGCACGGTCACGGCTCACTGCAGCCTTGACCTCCCAGGCTCAACCAATGCTCCCACCTCAGCCTCCCAAGTAGCTAGGACTACAGGCACCCACCACCACACAGGGTTAATTCTTTTTTTTTTTTTTTTTGTAGAGATGGGGTCTTGGTATGTTGCCAGGGATGGTCTCAAACTCCTGGGCTCAAGCAATCCTCCTGCCTCAGCCTCCCAAAGTACTGGGATTACAGGCATGAGCCACTGCACCTGGTTTATCTGTACCATTCTTAAAAATCTGTAATGGATCCTGATACTTACGCAGCATAAGCTTTTGCTATCCTCATGAACATAACCTCATCACCTCCTTTATCTGGATGATATTTAAGTGACAGCAAACGATATTGTTTTTTAATTTCTGCCACTGTAGCTCCCTAAAAAAAAAACAAAAAAAAAAACAAGCTTTCTGTTAGCAAAAATAAGCACAATTCTGTAAAGAAATAATCCTATTTTGAACTTAAAATATGAACTACTCAGTATTTTGAGAAAGACAAAATCCATTTTTCATCCTATATATTTTCCCATAAATTTCATCCCATACATTTTTAAATAAAAACACTTATATTGTCCAATATATGTATTTTATTGAGCACCTATGTGCCATGTGATCATTTGAAAGTGAAAACAGATGACACATTTACATAAAATAATACTGACATTTAAATATCAAAAAATAGGCCGGGCACAGCCTGTAATCCCGACACTTTTGGAGGCTGAGGCGGGTGGATCACCTGAGGTCAGGAGTTCATGACCAGTGTGGCCAACATATGGTGAAACCCCATCTCTAGCTGGGTGTGGCTCTCATCTCAACCTTCTTGGCTCAAACTATCCTCTCACTGTGGCCTCCCAAGTAGCTAGGACTATAGGCATGTTGCCACCACACCCAGATAATTTTTTTTTTTATATAGAGCTTGGGTGTCACTACGTTGCCCAAACTCCTGACCTCAAGGGATCCTCCCACCTTAGCTTCCCAAAGTGCTAGGATTACAGGTGTAAGCTACCGTTCCTGGCTGATATTAGTTATTTCTAAGATCCCCAACCTAGACTTTACCACACTGCTTAAGTGTCAATGAATACAAGGTCATAAGATTTTTATCATTCAACTAACACAAATTAACCTCCCAGTTTTAACTTTGCATTAACCAATATTACAGATCTCTCTTAAAAATATGCCTTTAGGCCGGGTGCAGTGGCTCACACCTGTAATCCCAGCACTTTGGGAGGCCAAGGCAGGTGGATCACGAGGTCAGGAGATCGAGACCGTCCAGGCTAACACAGTGAAACCCCGTCTCTACTAAAAATACAAAAAATTAGCCAGGCGTGATGGCGGGCGCCTGTAGTCCCAGCTACTCAGGAAGCTGAGGCAGGAGAATAGCATGAACCCAGGAGGCAGAGTTTGCAGTGAGCCAAGGTCGCGCCACTGCACTCCAGCCTGGGCGACAGAGTGAGACTCCTTCTCAAAAAAAAAAAGAAAAGACAAAAAAACACCTAAAAAAAGTGACCTCTCCTCTCATCTTCAAATACTTTTATTATTTCAGCAATTGAAAACCAATTATTAATAACAATCAACAGTTATAGCTTAAAACAGAATAACAGAGGATTAGACGTCTTATTTTAATAAACAAACTGACCAAAGTCTGATTTCTGTAGGAATGAACAATTTCTTTTAGAATGAGGACCTACAGCATTTTCATGGGATCATTAAACTAATATGCATTATATAAAAATACTACTTACGGGATCCAAATTTAAGACTTCATAAGGATTGTATTCTTGGTATTCTCGGTCTGTTTTGGAAACTTTATATGCAAGGAATAAGAACAATGCCCATCCTGCAAGCAGAACTATTTTCCTGTTTAGGAAAAAGGTAAGTGAATCATCAACAAATACATCTGCAAAGAGTCTAAAGACATTATGGCAAAGTCAAAGCAAAAACTCTAAAGTAGTACCTTATCACTATGCTACTGACTCAAATTCTACAATCACTGGGTTACAAACTCCTGTTACAGCAAGGACAGCGTCTTTTTTACCTTTGCATTCTTTATAATCTAGTACAGTGTCTACTATGTCATATTTTCTCACTTACTATTTGCACAATTTTAAATACGAAGTGAATTCAACTTATTAACTTATTGGACCTATTAAATTAGATCAAAATATATAAATACTAAGTAAACCATTTAATGGAAAAAAGAATTGCTCTGACCCAGCAATTACACTTTTATTAAGGTAAACTAGGAAAAACAATTGGTCAGTTGTGCAAAAATAAATACATAGCCTTGTTTATAGCAGTAAAACTTTGGAAACAACCTAAATGTCCATTCATAGGAACTGATTAAATAAATCATTTACAGAGAAATAATTAAATAAACCATGATACAGTCACACAATGCAGTATTTTGTAGCCAACAGTTATAGAAGGATGTTCATAATAGGTTAAAAGTATAAAAGAATGTATCATTTGAAAATAAACTAATTTCTGCTCCCTCCAATGTGTTCTAGTGAGTAAAATTATGTGAAAGATTAACATTACCAGCACTGGAGAGGTTAAAGAAAAAGAGAAACTCTCATACACTGTACACTCTAAAGTAATATCTGGCAATAAGGTATTAAAAGCCCAAAGAAATACATACAAATGGATTGTTTTTCTATCAATCCATTTCACTTCAAATAATTTGGAAATAAGTATAAAACTGTGGTCACAGATGTAAATAAGAGAAAGTATTTCACCATAGAGATGTACCCATTAGTTTATTTGTACATTCAATGAACCTTTTTTTTAGACAGAATCTCGCAACCAGGCTGGAGTGCAACGGCACGATCTCGGCTCACAGCAACCTCAGCCTCCTGAGTAGCTGAAACTACAGGCTCACACCACCACATTCGGCTAATTGTTGTATTTTTAGTAGAGGTGGGATTTCACCGTGTTGATCAGGCTGGTCTCAAACTCCTGACCTCAAGTGATCCACCCGCCTCAGCCTCCCCAAGTGCTGGAATTACAGGGGTGAGCCACCGCACCCAGCCTCCACAGTGAAATACTTTCTGACCACTAAAAATATTTGCTGTGGATGACTATCTTATATTGTTAAATTTACAAAATAGCTTTCAAAACTCTACGTATATAAAAGTTATATTACAAATAAGTGTACAAAGTAATTATCTTAATAATAATTAGCTTTAGGTGATGAAACCAAATGACTTTTATTTCTTATACCAAATGACTTTCATTTCTTATACTCTTTGTATGACAATGTTACACTGAGCAAGAACTGTTAGACAACATCAAATGAATGTTAAGAGGCCAAATTAAACAAAATTGGAGTGACCTGTTTTTAAATCACAATTACGGCTCACTGCAGCCTCGGCCTCTCAGACTCAAACAATCCTCCCACCTCAGCCTCCCAAAGCACTGGGATTAAGGCATGAGCCACCGCGGCCAGCCTACAACAGCAAACTTTTTTTAACACTTTTTAAACCCAAAATTTCGTAACAGCCTCAATATGCTTAAAAAAAAAAAAAAAAAAAAAAACTTGAAAATATGCTTTATTCCCACATGAATTAACTCCCCTTTTGTTTTTCCAACTCCTCCAAAAGGCTAAAAAAGCTCACAAAACAAAGATAAAATGAAATTGGAAACCAAAAAACCAAGATTTAAAACCAAGCAAGGTAAAAGGAACAAAACACCTAGGATATGCTAAACTCTATGTTTTACATAGAGCATCTAGTTCTCCAAGCCAAGGAATGAGAAGAGGAAAGGAGAAGCTCGTAACAGAATCCCAAGGCTAATGAAAATTACCACAACCAATAAAGCCATGCTCTAGTTTCCTGAGAGCCAAAGCAAAGATGGAAACATAACAGATCACATCAAGCTCTGTGTTCAATTTTTTTTAAAAACCCATTTGGTTCCTCTGAAAAGATAAGCGTTTTCCCCACACTTGGCTTCAGTAATTAACTTGAAGTGTCATCTTTTTTTCTGGGTGGGGGACGGAGTCTTGCTCGGTCACCCAGGCTGGAGTGCAGTGGCACAATCTCGGCTCACTGCAACCTTTGCCTCCTGGGCTCAAGCCATTCTCCTGCCTCAGCCTCCCAGGTAGCTGGGGGACCACAGGCACGCACCACCATGCCTGGCTAACTTTTTGTATTTTTTTAGTAGAGACGGGGTTTCACGATGTTGGCCAGGCTGGTCTCAAACTCCCGACCTCAGGTGATCCACCCACCTAAGCCTCTCAAAGTTCTGGGATTACAGGCTTGAGCCACCATGCCCAGTCTGAAGTGTCATCTTTAGAAGCAACTTTCAAAAATTACATGCCTTAGTTTTGCAGATGATGTCAGAAGAAAAGCATTACACAACAACTGTTTAACTTTGAAAGAATGTTTCAAGATTAAGTAGTAAAAGTTTTAATGGTTTATGACCTTATCTAAATTGTTACCAGTATATATTTAATTCTTCCTTATCGAAACTCCCTTAATCTGTACTTTAAGTAAATCAGTTTATTAATCACTAAAAGAGCTTCACAAAGTTTTTTTCCTTGAAAACTGAGGTTCAGATACCCACAAAGTCTTGAACAAAGCCAGACAAGAGACTGGGAGGCCAAAAATACAGGCATCCCTTGGTATCCTCAGGGACTGGTTCCAGGACTCCACAGATACCAAAATCTATGGATGCTCAAGTCCCCAGTATAAAATGATGTCACATTTGCATATAACCTACATACATCCTCCCGTGTACATTAAATCATCTCTAAATGACTTATAATACCTAATACAATGTACACTGTGGAAACAGTTATTATACCATATTTTTATTTATACTTTTAATTGTTGTATTGTTATTTTTCTTGCTTTTTTCCCCCAAATATTTTCAATTCACAGTTTGTTGAATCTTCCGATGTGGAACCCGCAGATATGTGGGGGAGGGGGGGGCTGTTTTTTGTCTTGCTACTTTATGAAAATTTAATTTAAAATGAGAACCAACAGCAAAGAATAAACAGTGAAGAGAAAATTACTCAAGACTAACTTTGCCTTTAGTTTCACCTCATTAAAGAACTCAACACCAAAGCTAGAATTTCCCCCCTCCTACAAAGAAACTAAACTGGGTGGCTCATGCAGGGTGGCTCACACCTGTGATCCTACCACTTCTGGAGGCGAGGGCGGGCAGATCACTAGAGCCCAGGAGTTCAAAAACAGCCTGGGCAACACGGTGAAACCCCATCCCTATAAAAAAATACAGGGAGGCCGAGACGGGCGGATCACGAGGTCAGGAGATCGAGACTATCCTGGCTAACACGGTGAAACCCCGTCTCTACTAAAAAAACACAAAAAACTAGCCGGGCGACGTGGCGGGCGCCTGTAGTCCCAGCTACTAGGGAGGCTGAGGCAGGAGAATGGTGTAAACCCGGGAGGCGGAGCTTGCAGTGAGTTGAAATCCGGCCACTGCACTCCAGCCTGGGCGACAGAGCGAGACTCCACCTCAAAAAAAAACAAAAACAAAAACAAAAAAAATTAACCAGGTATGGTGGCACACATCTGTACTCCCACCTACTCAGGAAGCTGAGGTGGGAGGATGCCTGAGTCCCAGGAGGCTGAGGCTGCAGTGAGCCAAGATGGCACCACTGCACTCCAGCCTGGGCAACAGAGCAAGATTCTGTCTCAAAAAAAAAAAGAAAGAAAGAAAGAAAAAGAAACTAAATTAGGTAAAGTTAAACCTTACAAAGAAAAACTAAATCCCCTGAAATTATGCTGAAAAAACTATCATTTAAACCAAGACTTTTAAATAACTGATTCTACTCTCACTAATTTCTTTTGCTACATCTTCTCTTCCTACTGGATAAATGTAGGTAATTCACAAGACATAGTAGTCCAATAAGGGTAACTCTCTCACCTCCTGTCAGTTTCATCTATTACCTCTAAACTGATGACGCAGGATAAATGCCCAAAGCCTTGCTCTTAACCAGTACACCCCATAGCCTCACAGAATTAAACTGGTCTGCTATAACTAAACATGTTAATGGCCTGTTTAAGCAGATGGGCCTGCTCAAATAAAGGGTGATTAGGTTCCTGATCCAACACTTCTAACTACATGACTTTGGTCAAGTTATGTCATTATTCTTAGCCTTAGTTTCCTTATCTGAGAAAAAACAAAACCATCTACTTTGAAGTGAATACAGAATTAAATTAGATAACATATAAAGCCCTAGCACAGATTCTAGCATACAGTAGGTACTCAAAAAACTTTAATTATCAACATAAAATGCTAACTTGTTCATGTCACCTACTTCTGAAATCTTTTAAAGATTTCCCCATAGTCTTTAAGATAAAATTCAAATCCTGGCACAAGGTGCACAAGGTCCTTCAAGATACGACTTATCTCTCTCTACCCCCGATCCCCAGCAACAGCACATTCTCCTTCCTTTGAACTTCTAAACCAATCTGTTCAGACTGTTCCCACATTTTCTCATCTTACCCTTACTATAGATTACAATTTCTTTACAGACACAATAACTTATTCATCATTACACATATATTTTGTATGACCTAGCAAAGAATAAGTATTAAGTAGGTTTTTTTCTTGAAATCCATTACTTACTTTACTGTAGGAATAATATTTGGCTGGGGTTTTAATAACCGTAAACGATACCACATACACCTTCCGTATACTTTTCTGATATTCTTTAATCGAATTTGCTCTGTCAAGAAAGAAAAATAAGATGAATTAAAAACCATTTTTCACAGTGAAGGCAAAACCAGAGTTAACTGGTTAACCTTCATCATCACGCTAATAGTTTACTGGAACATGAAATTACTGCCTATTCAAATAGCCTTTAAAAAACTTACAAGATAGGTTAAACTTTCTGCCATTTAGAACAAACAACCTATCTAGAAAACTTCATTCAACCACCAGGTGACCATTTTTCACATGAGACTTAATGAAAATGCAAAAACTGACTTGCACTCAAAATATTCAGTCAGATATAATCAGTAATTTCTGGGAAATTCTCTCCTGTTTCCCCTCTGCTATAGAAGGAAACGAGAAGTATAAAGATATGTTAAAACACCCACCAACTGATTTATTAAAGGAAGCTAAGCAGAACTCAATACTCTTCAGACACAAAAATAGAATGCCTAACAAGAATGTCTTCCTTTTTTTTTTTTTTTTATATTTGAAACGGAGTCTCTCTGCGCCCAGCGCTCGGAGTGGACCGGATGCCAGGATCTTCAGCTCACGCAAGCTCGGCCTCCCTGGAGTTTACCCGCCATTCTCCTTCGACTCAGCCATAACCTCATCCGATGTTAGCTGACTACGGCCGCACCGCCATCACCCCTGCCCTCGCTCCGGCTTAGTTTTTTGTATTTCTTTAGTAGAGAGGAGACGAGAGGTACTGTGTTAGCACCATGGATGGTCTCGATCTCCTACCCTCCGTTGGATCCGCCAGACCGTCTCACGCCACTACGCATCCCCAATAGTGCTAGGAATTTTATTTTTTTTTTTACTTTTTTTTTTACCAACTACAAGGATTGAGCCACCAGAGCGCCCCCGGACCCCAAAATTTTCTAAACTTCACAAAGTTTAGATCAGCCTCCATCTATTTATGGATCTAAAACATAGTCAAGACATTGGAGCCTTGTAACATAAAAATCAACTTGCAGTTAAACAAAAAAGTTGAGTACTTGCTGGACTCAGCACGCCCACACTAACACTAAAACCCATGGAGCAATCAGAGATTGCATGCGTCCCTTGCTCAGAAAAGATCGATCTCGCCCAGCTATCTTGTGACAGTATCTTTTTTAGTTTTTTGGCTAAACGAAAACTCTGGGGTCCTTGCTTGTTGCCCAAGGCTGGTCTCAACTCCTGGCCTCCAAAAACGCACCGCTCGCCTGCCGGTCACGAGCACCCCTGGTCCCCCCAAAACAAAAGTGCCAATTTAAAAAATGTATTAAAAAAAAAAAGGGGGACAGGCATTGGTGGCTTCATTCTCCCACCGCCACGCCTTTATCCCACAACCCGCACCTCCCCATCTGGGAGGCCTGACCCGGCGGGTCGGATCCCTATGAGACGTCAACCCGACAAGGAGTTCGAGGATCCCCAGCCTCCACATGAAGCATAACCCCCCGTCATCTACTGCAAAATGAGCAAAATTAGCAGCTCGCTGGTGGTGCATGCTGAATCCAGGCGCTAGTCCGGGCTGAGGAAGGGAGCATTGCTTGACACCTGGGGCAGAGGTTGCAGCTGGCCGAGATCTTTACTGGTCTGCACTCCGCCTGGGGCTCAACAAGAGCGAAAATCGTCTCAAACAAAACAACAACAAAGGTAGAGTAAAAATTCACTATCAACAATAAATTATAATTATTTTGTGTTAAGCTGGAAAAGTCTCCTAAACCCGTAAAACTTAGGTTTATGGGGTCAGGCACTGTGGCTCACCTCTGCAATCCCAGCACTTTGGGAGGGCGAGGCAGGCAGATCACCTCAGGTCAGGAGTTGAAGACCAACCTGGTCAACATGGCAAAACCCCATCTCTACTAAAAATACAAAAAGTAGCCAGGCATAGTGGTGCATGCCTATAGTCCCAGCTACTCAGGAGGCTGAGGCATGAGAATCACTTGAACCCAGGAGGCAGAGGTTGCAGTGAGCGGAGATCCCTCCAGCCTGGGCAACAGAGTAAAACTCCATCTCAAAACAAACAAAAAACTTAAGTTTACATAAGAGTTGTGACAAAAGCTATTATTTTAAGGCTGGGCGCGGTGGCTCACACCTGCAATCCCAACACTTTGGGAGGATGAAGCAGGCAGATCACGAGGTCAGGAATTCGAGACCAGCCAGTTCAAGACCAGCCTGGCCAACTTGGTGAAACTCCGTCTCTACTAAAAATACAAAACTAGCCAGGTGTGGTGGCGCATGCCTGTAATCCATTACTCAGGAGGCTGAGGCAGGAGAATCAGTTGAACCTGGGAGGCACAGGTCACAATGAGCCGAGAGCGCGCCATTGCACTCCAGCCTGGGCAACAAGAGTGAAACTCCATCTCAAAAAAATAAAAAAGCTATTATTTTAAGCCTCAGGAAAAACTTGCAGTTTAATTAAAAAGAAATTAAGCCCAAGCAAAAATAGTATGTATTGTTTTACTAAATTCACCACAAGCACTTGGATTGAATGACTCTCCCAAGTTTAAAAAAAAAAAATGTATTGGGAGGCCGAGGCAGGTGCATCATGAGGTCAGGAGATAGAGACCATTCTGGCTAACACAGTGAAACCCCTTCTCTACTAAAAAGACAAATAATTAGCCAGGCGTGGTGGCACGTGCCTGTAGTCCCAGCTACTCGGGAGGCTGAGGCAGCAGAATCACTTGAACCCAGGAGGCAGGATGCAGTGAGCCAAGATCACACCACTGCACTCCAGCCTGGGTGACAGAGCAAGACTCTGTCTCAAAAAAAAAAAAAAAAAAAATTAAGTTTCAAAATAAAAATCTGCCTTTTTAAGAAGATGGCACCAAAAACAAAGGAGGAAGCCTTTGCCCACCCCAAAGCCAAAGTCAAAGCAAAGGCTTTGAAGAACAAGAAGGCAGTGCTGAAAGGCATCCACAACCACACAAAATAAGACTGGCCACCCACCTTCCAGTGGCCTAAGACAATGCAGCTCCAAAGGCAGTTCAAATGTCGTAGGAAGACCACCACCACAAAAAACAAGCTTTATCATTATGACATTATCAAGTTCCCCTTGACCACTAAGTCAGCCATGAAGAAGACACCAGCACATTTGTGTTTACTATGGATGTTAAGGGCAACCAGATCAAACAGGCTGTGAAGAAGCTCTATGACACTGGCATGGCCAAGGTAAACATACTCATCAGGCCTAACGGAGAGAAGAAGGTGTATGCTCAACTGGCTCCTAACTTATGATGTTTTGAATGCCGCCAACACAATTGAGATGATCTAAAATGAGTTCAGCTGGTTAATTACAATTTTTTTTACCATATTAAAAAAATCTACAAAACTGCAGTTCTTAAATGAGATAACAGGTAAGTAAAAGGACTTGGCATATAGAAGGTTCCAAAACCACCATGTAGGAAGTCCAACTACCCTGTTACCACCATGCTTAGATGAAGTCATCTGCATGGGAGGACTACCCAGCAAGAAGCACCAAAACCAAGTATTGGGAAGAGGGAGGGATCCATGTAGGGGAGAGTATGGTAGCAGAAAAGGAAACTGATAATATGCAGGGGAACTGATTGAATAAGTTAATATATTAAAGATACCTGGAGTTAGTTTTCCACTGTCAAGAAAAAGGAGTGAAAAAATAGAAAACAAGAATGAACCCTGTACTGCTGGACTGGAATTAAAGATACCACTATGAATGAATATCTTTTAATAAAGAAATACAAATGCAGTTCTAAATACATACATACATACTCCCTAGCTCTATCTACTAAATGGGCCTAGGAGCAGAAAAATCCCAGTAGCAATGAGCACATCTAGCATGCAGATCTTGGCTTCTAAATACCATTCTCCACTAAAAGGAACCAGGAATCCAAGTATCCTCCCACAAAATACTAATTACAAAGGGGAAACAAATGACTTTACAGTTGGGTAGGCTGAATAACTGTCCCCCAAGATGTCCACATCCTGATACCTGGAACCAGTAAATATACTATCTTAAATGACAAAAGGGACTTTACAGATATGACTAAGTTAACGATCTTGAAATAGGGAGATTATCATAGGAGGACCATAATCACAGGGGTACTTTTAAGAGGGAGGCAGGAGGGTCAAAGACAGAGATGGTGATATCACAGTGAAAGCAGATGCTGGACTAATGCCCTTTTTAAAGATGAGGGAAGGGCCACAAGCTAAAAAATACAGGCTATCTGCAGAAGCTGGAAAAGGCAAGAAAGCAGATTTTACCCTAGAGCCTCCAGAAGGAACTAGCCCTGCCAACATCATGACTTCAGCCCAAAGAAACTGATTTTGGACTTCTGGCCTCCAGAACTGTTAAGAGAACAAATTTGTGCTGTTTTAAACCAATGAGTTTGTGGTAATTTGTTACAGCAGCAATAGGAAACATAGAACATCTCAACAGACACCACCTCAATCAAGTGATCGGTGAGCATCGCCAGAAAAAAAGACAACCTAAAATCATACACCACCTGACAGCATGCAATGAGAAGAACACAGAATCAGTTTTGTGAAATTCCTGCTGAAGATACATAACCTGACTCTAATAATGAGAAAACACTGTACAACTCAAACTCCAATTCATTTTACTAAATAACCAGTCTCTAATCTTTAAAGCAGAGGGAAAAGTGAGTAACTACTTCAGACTAAAGGAGACTAAAGAAACACATCAACTAAATGTGGTATGTGATTCTAAATTGGATATTTTACTATAAAGAACATCAAGAAAAGTGACAAAACCCAAATGGAGTCAGACAATGAGATGGCAGTAATGCCAATTTTCTGATTTTCATGGTTTAGTTATGAACACTTGAAAATACCACTAGTGATTTTTAAATATGTATTTTATTAAATTAAGCCTCTACAGTCTCCCACTTTCAAGTGTAAAATCAAGGAAACATTTTATGAGGTTTTATAAGAACAATGCTGAAGTCTCTTTATGAAGCACACAGTTTGATCTACTCAAAGGTATGATGTTCTACTGTTCCTGGTCAAGAGAAAGTACATGTGGTTTTCAGCCCC